TGAGAGCATTTGGAGAAGGAGAGCGGACTCTTCCCACTCTCGGCCGTACCAGGGCATTTGGTGGCAAAATAGTAATACACTCTTTAATATCTGATGAACATGACTTTTTATTATATCTTCTGGATGAACTCCACTTGTTTATATCCGATTGTCGCTGATTATTATGTCAGAATAGTTTATCATTTATACCAACGCAGTTCTCACGATGCAAAAGTAAAAACAAAAAAAATCTGGTATAAGTGACGATTTATTAGCTACAAAAAACACAACGACAACGACAACTCTAGAAGAAAGTACACTCATTTATATATTGATTATACGTCCATTTTGATTAATAATGAAGATGAAATCACATATATACTCAGGGTTATAAGAAATCACATGTTCAATATAGTCCATGTTAAATGAATACAAGAATATGGTATGTCATACAGAATAAGATATCATACAAGAAAACAAACTAAATACTACATAGAGTATTCATTACATTGAACTAAGCATACGAAATTCATGTTGAACGAAAAATCATAATGAGTAAAAGAATGTATATTAGTTACCTATTGAATTCAGGAAGTGTATTCAATTCAGTAACTCGAAGCATAACAACTTTAACTGCTACTTTATGTAAAGTTTTGAATAAACGTTTATGAGAAGTTCCACATTCTTATAATTTAGTATAGTCAATCCTAATTAATTTACAATGGTTCATCAATTTATCTCAGTTTATGACGAAAACCAAACAAGCGTCAATGAAGCGATTGTGTTGTTATAATGAAACAAATTTATCACAGACTGAAATCATGAGTCAATTGAAGCTAGACCACCATGGAAAACCTGGAAGCACTGGGCGGCCATTTTGTCCTAGCATGGGACTCCTCATCAGTGCGTATCCATGATCCCCCACCCTGCGAGATTCGGACTCAGGACCTATCAGTCTCGCGTCAGGCGCTTAACCAACTAGACCACTGAGCCGGTATCCGATGGTGTTAATGTCTAACTTCAACCAATCCCATTTATGTCTTTAAGAGAACTTACAAAACCAATTTATCAAAATTTTCAAATAGGAGATTTCGAAATAATATCGAACTGACAAACCTCATTGCTTATTCTAACAATTGTAAAGTACATATTATCCCCTAGATAATTGTATATCTAAACAATTAGAAGGCTGATATTGTTTTAGATGGAGTTTTGTTCTCCGAACTGGTTGGTTTAGTCGTGTAGCTTTCATTGTTCTTTTGAACAACATCATCAGCACAAACTTTCGGTAGAAGTGAAGTATTCAAATTTCTTCACATATAATTTATACCTTGTCCTATCGATCTCGGTCTTGGCTGGTTATTGTTGACCATTACCCTGTTATTGCCTGCTCCTTTATTTTCATTAAATCTCCCATTGATTTTGATACAATCGAAGTAAAGAAGGTTAACAATAACTAATCAAGATCGGGATCGATAGCACAAGCTGTGAATCATATGTGAAGAAATCTGAATACTTCACTTCTACCTGAAGTTTGTGCTAATGATGTTGTTGAGAGGAATAATGAAAGCTCTAGGACTAAACCATTCACTTCAGAGAATAAAGCTCCACCTAAATGATCAACCTAAGCTACAGATCTTCTTCATCAGGCTTATATATGTGTATAAAAAGATTTGTATACCTTAACTAAGTGAATGTCTATTAAAAACGTTTTGTTGATTAACTAACAAGTATACATTATTAATAATACCAGTACAATCTAAATTCAATTACATGAATCATTACCAACTAAATAAATGATCGACAAATGAAATGATCTGACAAGATATACAACTGTCAGTAAAACAAGAAAAAGTAAATGAGTATTGCCAAATTTTATCTACTCGTGATCAAATAATTTCATTGTATCTTCTTATGATAAATTGTTGATTATAACAGAGTTAAGTAAGTTTTAATCTACAAACATCAATCAAAGTAATAAAATAGTTAATTTCTAGGTTTTATGACTAAATGTTATCATTTTTCAATAGTTGAGATCATGAGTCAATTAAAGCTAGACCATCATGGAAAATCTAGAAGCACTGGACAGCCGTTTTGTCCTATTGTGGGACTCCTCAGCAGTGTGCATCCACGATCTCACCTCGTGAGATTTCAATCAAGGACCTATGGGTCTTGAACGCTAGCGCTTAAACTCTAGAACACAGCCGGCATCTTACGGTGTTAATCTCTAACTTCAACTAATCCACGAAATTGAGCGATACATTTACCATTGTCTTCAGTGAGTTACTATCTCATAACAGACCTGGTTGAACTCCACCGATTAATATTTTTTACTAGAACTCCAGGAAATACCTCTTGAAGCTAGTCACTAGTGAGTATATGTTGATTAGTATCAGAAGGGGTTTTTGTGGATATTATAGTAATTTCAATAGTTGAGACCATAAGCTAATTGAAGCTAGACAACCATGGAAAACCCGGAAGCACTGAACGGCCAAATCCTCCTATTATGAGACTCCTCAGCAGTGCGCATCCAAGATCCCATCTCGTGAGATTCGAACCCAGAACCTATCGATTTCACGCATGAACGCTTAACCTGTAGACCACTGATTATTTTGCGAAAAATAAACCAGAATTACTTTTTAGGAAAACAAAACAGGTTTATGTTAATTGTTGGTACCAATTAATTATACAAATGAATTCACTGATCATGGATGCACACTGCTGAAAAGTGTCATCCTAGGACCAAAACAGCTTTCTGGTGCTTCCAAGTTTTCAAAGGTGATCCAGTATAAATTGACTCATAAATTCGACAGTTAAAATTACTATAATCTTCACAAACCTCCATTCTGATTACAAACTGAAAATAGTAAAACTAGCGTATAGTAATTGGCCAATTTGTAGTCTACAGCTTCAATAGATTCATATTCAGTTAAAAATGCTTCGTATATTTATTACTAAAAGAAATCAAATGTCGAATGTCTCTCTTAGTTTCCTATTGATGATTCACTATGCAGTTGATTGATGATAAGTTGAATTCAGAAAAACCGTCAGTGCCTATTATTCTAGGAATTAAATAGTTAGTGTGAAATGCCTGACTGTTGAAAGCTTCTAAGGTCGTTTCAAATTATAAAAAAATGGAAATGGAACAAATGTATAGTGATTGATATAGACCTAAGGTTGTCTTTGTCTTAGTTTGTTAATTTAGTGTATGAGTTCGTTATTTCATTAAACAACAAATCACTGATCACTTATTTGTTCAGAGTAACTGCTGAACAGTTACCCCATACTAGTTGACATTAACTGTTTTGTACTATAAACAGTCATAATACATTTGATTGTAAAGAAATTTAATGTCTTTGTCAAATAACTGTAGTGTGGTGTGTGAATCTAAACTTCAGTTGTTTAAGTCAGTCTGTTGAATTTATTTATTTTCTCAACTACAATAATACGATGTTATTTAATACCTTACGATATTGTATGGGCCTTCAAATGCCCTGGTATCGTCGAGAGTTAAAAGAGTCAGCTCTCCCTCTCCAAATGCTCTAGCATGGTCACGTGCATATAACCACTGCCAGATAAGTGCTAATCACTGGCTTCTTGCAACACAGGTGTGCTTTACGATATTTGAGAGGATGAAAAGCGAGTGTTCGGCGCTTTAACCGGATTTATGGATATAAAAGATCCATCTAGCGGAGTTGGAAAATAACGATTCCAAACCAATGGTGTACATGGACTCCAGAATCCTAAGGAAACAAATGGCGTCTGAACCAATTTTTGGTGACCGGCTACCATGAGACTACATCTCCTTACGTTGCTCCACTGCCTTGTGGATTAGATCTGTAGGTCAAAGGTTCGAGGTGTGGCCCTAATTCTCACACAAATAGAATGATCTATGTGACGTATATCTATTTGATGCCACCTTGTATCAGTGTTTATGTGTTTAAAAAAGTAAAATTTAAGGCCGTACAGTGCTTCAAGGTCCAGCTTCAATTGACTCATGATCCTAAATATTAAAATTTAAGGATTTAGTTCTCTATGTCTTCTATGTAATATATTTTATTAACAACCTAACCGATTGGGGTCACCCACTCATGTGCAAAACAACCCTGCATTCCAGTAGTAGGGTAGTTCGAAACAAGCTTTTGTTCACTTTTCGATTTGCAGTTGAATGTATTCCATTCTCAAGCTTAACTTATACCACATAAACGCCGAATAGTCAGTCAGCGGGAATACTTTTTTTGTAACCGATGCCCAAAATTTTAATGGTCATGTGATATACAGGGCAAAGGTCATAATAACTCAAAATCAGAGCTCAATATGAAAAGCTGTAGTGAGTAGATGGATTATTTACCTAGCTCATGATTGGCTTACCAATCAAATGTTCATGTCAAGGTCAGGAATTATTAGATATTTTATTCAGTCCTTTACAACATAGTTTTTTACACAATATTGTCTCGTTCATCTGTCTAACTGAATTGATCAATCTCTGTGTTAGTCTTTGTACATCCTGACCTGACAAGTCTCAAACATACGTTTGAAACATACATTCTGAGTTTCATTCCTAATCATTATCCAACTTTAATAAAACATTTATATAAACACTTGGTATTGTTTTACTTGAATCTTCCCACTGATGTTTTTTAGAACTGAAATTGATCAGTCATCATCAAACATCAATGGGAAGATTCAAGTAAAAACAATACCAAATGAATTAAACTTCACCCCATTGCGCAAGCAAGTGGCTATCAGGACTTAGTAGCTAAGTGGATAACGCCATGGCGTTTGAGACGTTTGAAGGGTACTGAGTTCGAGTCCCAGGGAGAACATCAACTCTGAGATGTGCAGGTACATCCAGCTGACGAATCCTAAACAGGACAAAACGCGCATTAAACTGGATTCCACTGCTAGCCACTATCCATCTTTGCTTATTTATATAAACAGTTTGAAAAGCTACTACTACTACTACTACTACTACTACTACTATCTGTCATTTATGTTTCTTTTATTATTTATTTCATCAGGCTGTTCTACATAAAGATGTATTATGGTTTGATCAACATTCACCTGGTGATATTATAAATAATCTATCAGATAATTTAAATTCTATTGAATCTGGTATTGGTACAAGATTAAGTGATTTCAATCAAAATATAAGTGGATTTTTATCTGGTATTATTATTGGTTTTATTGTGAAATGGAAATTAGCATTAGTTGCTTGTGCTACACTACCATTTGTAGTGATAGCTTTCTCTTTATTTGGTATTGCATTTAAATTATTTCATAATAAAGAAATTAATGCATATTCACGTGCATGTACAGTATCAAATGAAGTATTATCATCAATTAGAACTGTAGTTGCATTCGGTGGTGAAAAACGTGAATCATTAAGATATCAAAAAGAATTAACATCAGCTGAATTAATGGGTATTAAAAAAGCTACAGCATTTGGTGGTGGTAAGTAATATATACATATATATTTGTGTTGTTTCTGAGCACTATTATCTTCATGTATTACAGTATTCAAATAAAATGTTATAACTATGAATTGATCATAAAGAGGATTATCAGTATAGGGTTTTGGAGATTATTAAGTTTTTAGATTAAGATCATGAAAAAAAAGATCATGCCCGACCGAAGCTGTTATGTTGAAGCGGTGGTCGGGTTTGCCTTTCGTGATGACCCAACCGAGCTATACTGACTGGAACAACTGTTCCTCAAGGTCCTACCACGTCAGAAAGGTCGGTTGAAGAGCGGTAAGACTAAAGGCAACAAACCTAAGGTCCGAAGGCGAAGTTGTACTGCTGACTGTACAGAGGTGTGACGGCAGAAAGGTGTTTCCTTCAGACAACCAGTATAACAGCGGTGCTGCCTTCCCACAAGGAAAGGTGGGGTTAGAGAAGGTCGACGCTAAAAATGAACACCTCGCCTTATACTATGAATTTCCGTCTCAAGAGTTAAGGTCCCAATAAGTAGGGAGCTAGCAAGAAAACTGCTCACAAAAAGGTGGTATGTGACCGACCTCAAACAGTTGGCCATGGGGCACTTCCGTCACGCTCTCAGGTCGCTAAGATCACCTCTAACCCTATTTCCTTTTCAAGTACCTCTAAAAGAATGCAATGCAATGAAATTTTGTATACAAAAGCTGAAATGTTTGATATAATCATTATAATAGAACCACAGCAGTCGGAAAAGTACTTAATCTCGGTGTAGTTGATTGTTTAGTGTAATTTTCCTTTATTGGTTTAGATAAACGGTTCAAATAATGTTCAGGATATCAATTTCACTTCGGTTATTTATTGTTTTTACGTTTTACAAACGGGAAATAGACATCTATATGTTTTATTCTTCTCTATGAACATGATAGTTTGTATGCCAACTAAAGGCCACATTAAACAGTCTAATTAGTATTTCTCATTAGGTTTTCTAAGCTTCTGAACTTTTTCAATGCAACACTAAGGATTTTGTGGTTTGATATTTACTTTTTCATGATTCAATTATTTCCAATTAATAACAAAAGAATAGATGGAATGTGACTGGCAGTGGACACGCGTTTGGGATTCTTCAGCCGGATTAACCTACATCCCAGAGTTGTGGTTCACTGAACAACCTAATAGACAGCACGATGCAATTTGGAGCGAATGGTACTGGGTTCGAATTCTAAGGTGAATATCAACTCTGCGATAAAGGTAAGTCCAGTTGACAAGTCCCAAATCAGACGGAGTGCGCGTCCTGAGTTCCACTGCTAGTTACAATCCCTCACTGCAGATAAACAAATAATTTTAATTTTGTATTGTACTAACACTGTTGGTTGTTCATCACATATTCAGACAAACTAACTGAGTAAAATAAATATACTTTCCAATTATTATGTACATGTAATTTGGTAATTTCCTCCTTAATCCCTCAATTTATTTATTTATTCTGTTCTCATCTTTATTTATTGATTAGTTGGAGGGTGTATAGGACTTGTAATATTTTCATCAGCGGCTTTAGTGTTTTGGTTTGGTGTTAAATTAATTCGAGACGAAGATGCTGATCCTGGAGCTGTAATTGCAGTAAGTGTGTGAACTCATGCCTGAATTATTCATATCAATCGATACCCTGATAGCTTAGCGGTAACTTCCCAGTCCATGTAGCTGAATGACGCTCATTTGTAGTCCACAGGGAGTATCAGTTTCCTCAGGACTTCTGGTATGCCATACTATAATGAGCGCCAGCTGGCATAAAACCTAGATCAACAAGAGTTTCCTCCCGACCACATTCAACCACCAAAAACGTCATTGATCAAATTTCTTATGATTAAGTCATCTTTTGCTGTAACTTATTTGTGAGATCAGTATAAATTCACAAATTGCATGTAAGATACAAAATAAACAAAAAGGTAAGTGTTATGTTTCTGCTGCCAGGGTTTTATCTGTGCCTCCTTGTCTTGACGTCTGAGGTTGTCATCGCTGTTAATGTACATGCTCGGACTGCAGTCGTACTGCTTATAATTGACAATTGGAAACCACTGTGATTTCTCCATCCTACCACTTATACTTTGGAACGGACACCACTTCAATTCTCAAAACACTAAGTAAGAATACGAAAGACTTAAGAAATGAAGATTTCATTGATTCCTTAAAAAACGTCCTCAAACAAGTCCGAAAATGATGCCGTTATTACACCAAAATATAATCATTTATATAATAATTTTTACATAATAATATCACATATAGGGAAAACTACGTTAGGTTACTGTAAAATCACACACCGAATATGGTTCACTGGAATTGGTAAGGGGAATGTAATCGTCAAAATGAACAAAGTTCTCACTTGTCACCCTGGCTGAAATTCACATTAAATTGTTAAAGAAAGTATTGACCTAGATCATGTCATCTTTCTTTTACGTTATATCAATCCTTACCTATGATCGCTCATGGGACCCACAAGAAAATATCTTTGTCTGAATTAACATTGATAAATGACCTAAGAAAATAATTTTTCCAAATACTTCGTGATAGACTATTAGATAAGTACACTTCAGAACGTGAGTTTCTTTCGGTGAGACTATAATTTATGGACGACCTTTAAGCAACTCTAAAGTGATTTTCAGAATATCCACCCAAATAAGGGTTACAAACCCGTGTGTGAAGATGAGTTGGATGATTACATCTCATTAGCAATAACGAGCGGGTTGCTGTTGAATTATTTAATTTATTATCGGAATGAGGGTTCGTGGAGATTGTAGTATCGTAACAGTTGAATAGATGATTCAATCTAAGCTAGACCACTAATAAAAACCTGGAAGCACTAGACGGACGTTCTGTCCTAGAATGGAGCTACTTAGCAGCGCTCATCCACGATTTCACACACGGGACTCGGACCCAGTAACTTAGGTCTCACTTGAGAACGCTTAACCTCTAGGTCATTGTTATGTTGGAAAATGTAACATAGATCTAGGTGGCTACAATTTCTATTAATTAATATTTATACTCTAAATTTAATATATAACGTGAAATCACAAATTTTTTAATGAACTTAAACTGAATGGTAAGGATTTCATTTACAAGTACGATGAAACATCCTGGATTTCACCTATTTGACAACAATCCATAGATCATAACCACAATTCAACTGTCGTTTTCTTTGAAAGTTTGTATTTCAAAACATTTCGTTATTACCAGTATGGGGTTGTGGAGACTCTTGTGTCTTAATTAAGATCATTAACCAATCAATGTTAGACCACCATTAAAAACCTGGAAGCATTGGACGGCTGTTCCGTCTTAGTATGTGACTCCACATCAGTGGTCATCTAGAGGTCAAATATTCGCCTGTGAGACTGAAGGTCTTGGTTTCCGATCCCATATTTGGAATGATGGATATGCACTGTTAAGGAAGTCTATACTAGGACGAGTTGGTCATCCAGTGCTTTCAGGTTTCCAATGGTGATCTAGCTTAAAACGACTCAATTTAACTTGGTTATTTATTCTCTGAAGAAGTGACTTACATTGAGTCACATAACGTCAGAAAATTCACTTTTTCTACTCATTGGGATATTACAAATATATCACTTTTACTTTAAATCCACTTGATATTGATTTACATGAATCCTTCCATTGATGTTTATCACTTCAATTGATCAGTCTCTTATTGACATATGTGCATACTGCTCTTCGTGCCTCGATATTGTCCTAATTCACAAGCATTATAAACAAAGATGAATAGTGGTTAGCAGTGGAACCTAGTTTGATGAGCGTTTCGTCCCATTTGGATCTCGTCAGCTGGATATACCTGCCTCTCATAGTTGATGTTCACTTCAAGGCTCGAACCCAGTACCGTTCACTTCAAACGGCATCGTACTATCCACTTATCTACTGAGTCCTGATAGTCACTTACTTGTGTAATGGGATGAAGTTTCAATTCACCTGGTATTATTTTACAGGACGAGACCAAAGATCCTGGGTTCGAATCCCCCATACGAGATCATACATACACGCACTGCTGAGAAGTCTCATACTAGGATGAGTTAATCGTTCAATGCTTTCATGTTTTCAATAATGATCTGATTATTGATTAGTTCATGATCTCATTTCGTTATTATACTACATTTTATATAGTATTCTTTTATACACTTAAAAAAATGCATCAAATTTCTTTTTCTTCTTCATGATCATATCGAAACTTGACTGACAATCTCTCTTTATCTACTCATAATAAATATTTACAAGGTCAATCTACGTAACTAACTATTCTAATTTTTCTTGTTTATTTAGTATGTTTTGTTTGGCTTTCATCATTATAAACAATTTAAGTAGTATATAGACAATGCAAACACTTCGACAACATTCTTTAATGTCTCTGCCCTGTTATTAAATTCAAATTATTTCTATACATTAGTATAGTTATGTTACTGTACATTGTATTTACAATGTTAATGAAACGAACGTGTGTAATATTTAAGAAAAAAATTCTTCTTCTTTACAAATAAACAAGATAGTGAAATACTTGCAATAACCCATAGTGTCATTGAATAAGAAAAAAGAAGAATTCAGCGCTGAATTCTTCTTTTTCTTATAGTGAAATACTTTACAAATTATATCATACATAAGGAATACGTTAGTGAACAGGTGAAGTTAATATATGGATGTATTATGCATTGATATATGAAGAGATAAGTTAAAATCATAGTTGAAATATTCTAACATTGAAAAACCCAAGTACATGTAGTTGACTATTTTGAAGTAGAATAAAATGTTAATTATTCAAAGATTTACTCTTATTACACCTGTTACTCTCAATGGAGTATAGGCTGTCGACTAGAATTCTTTAGTACACTCTGTCTTGAAACTTCCTTTATGGTTCTATCCAATTGTTGCTCATTCTTTTCATGTCTGCCTGCATTTCTAAGCTTAATGTGTTCTTTGGTCTTCATATCCTCCTTTGACCTTGAGGATTCCATGGGAGGGCTTGCCTTGTGACACAGTTGGGTGCTTTCCTCAATGTGTGTTCTATCCGCTTCTAGCGATTATTTCTCATTTCTTCCTTCTCTGGAATCTGATTTGTTCTGTCCCACAGTAAATTGTCGCTGATAGTGTTTGACTAACGCATCCGATGTATTTCGCGTAGACAGTTGGTAATAAACACCTGGATGATGGCTCTCGTAATTCTTCAGGTTTTCACCACTTACAGTCAAACTGTCTTGACATTTGTATCGAAAATCCTGACCTTGGTGGTTGTTGACAATTGTTTTGAGTTGCAAATGTTCTTCAGTTGTAAATATGCTGCTCTTGCTTTACCGATCTGCGTCTTCACATCTGCATCAGATCCATCGTGTTCATTAATGATGCTATCTAGATATGTAGAGGATTTTACATCTTCCAAATCTTCTCCGTCAAGTGCGATTCGATTGTTGCATCCTGTGTTGTATCGGAAAATTTTGCTTTTCCCTATATGTATGTTGAGACTTACTACTGCTGAGACTGCTGCTACACTGGTCGTCTTCTCTTGCATTTGTTGTTGCGTTTGAGATAAAAGAGCCAGATGATCTGCAAAGTCTAGATCATCCAGTTGCATCCTAGCTGTCATCTGTATCTCATGCACCAACCCTCAGATGTTGACGTTTTCCTAATACGGTCAGTCATCAGGAAAAAGAGAAAGGGTGAGAGAAGTAAACTTGCCTGGCACCGGTCTTTACTTCGAACGAGTCTCTGAGCTGTCCTCTATGCACGATTTTGCAGTTTAATCCATCATATGAATTCTGTATGATATTGACTATCTTCTGAGTCACGCCGTAGTGTCAAAGAAGCTTCTATAGTGTTGTTCTGTCCATGCTATCAAATGTTCTTTCGTAGACAATGAAGTTGATTACTCTACAATGACCCGTAGAGTTGCGGTTTGGTCTGTACACGATCGATCCTTACGGAATCCAGCCTGTTGGTCTCGAAGTTGGGTGTCCTCCATTCTGTTTAACAACACCCTGCTGAAGTCTTTTCCTCGTATTTTGTTTTTCTCTTTCGTATAAGTTTATTATTATTATTATTATTATTATTATTATTATAGTAAGTTTCTTTATTATGATTATTAATGTTATATGTATTTCTTCTAGGTTTTTATCAATATTCTTCTAGGAAGTATATTTCTAGGCAATGCATTACCAAATATTCCTTATATTCTAGGAGCTGTGACATCATCCAAAGATATATTTGCTACAATAAATCATGTGAGTTTTTGTTCGTTAACTTTATTATGTTTCGTCACTGTACCACAAGAAATTATTGATTGTTCATGTGAGGATGTGGTGCGTGCTACTTATATTGATATAAGTAGTATATGACGAGAGTTAAAAATGTAATGTCTGGCAGCAAAAGATGGGGAAAGATCAAGAAAAGAAGAGCGAAAACACAATGCAATTTGTAAGAAAACGGATCAACAATGAAATGTGAGACAATGAATTGATGGTTGCAACAGCAACAGTCCAGGTTGATATGATGGATTAATATTTTGCAAATTAACGATTTATTATACGGTTTTTCTATTTTGCCAAGTAACTCTGTAAGGTTGGGTTAAATTATATTTAGTCGTCCTCACCCGTGTTCTATTCACTACACATATATTTCTTGAAATAAACAACGTCGGTAAGCGTGCAGTTCTTTCTGATTGACATCCGCCGGATAATTGCCGTCTAAATTTGTAAGCGTCCGGGAGGGGAATCCCGGAATTAATCTTCACAGTTCAGTTCCATACATTTTGTAGCTTACTTTAAACGCCGAGCTTAATGGCATTTCATACCTTTCATTTCTAAAACATCTTATTCTCACTTATTAGTTTTTTGTTCTTTCTTTTCACTAAACATTTCCATACTGAAATGAAAAGGCTATTCAGTGCACTTCATGTCTCAATAATTGTCCATTTGATGTCATTCTGTGATATGAAACCATCTTTGAATGAAATAACCTCCGTAAACCTCTAATCTTAATCAATGAAATGTTTTATAGTTTTACCACCGAATGACTCTAGACTATTACGATTATTGTTATAAAGAGTTTTTAGAAATTGTTGAGCTCACTATCGACTAATTTCACAATGTAGTTCCAGCAGTTCTAACAAGAAATTATTACCAATAGAGTCAAATGTGAAACGATGACCCAGTATGTAACACTGCGAGATCGTTATATAATACCACGAATTAATTAAAGTGACGAATGTACAACTCTTAGACTTCGACTTAATAATTTAAAATCTTATGCCTTCTCTATGTGATATCCATATCCTGAATTCATTTTCCTGTAGGGTCCCAAACAAGGAACAAATGATTTTGTATGAAAATTTAACAGCCACCATGAACTCTTGATAAAAGTTTTACTCAATTTATTTTTCTTCTAATTTATAAATGTAGGTTTCTGTAATAGAGAAAAATGATACAGGCAAAATTATTCCAGATTTTGATGGAAGTATTACATTTCATCATGTGAATTTCAGTTATCCTTCACGTCCAGATATACCTGTAAGTAAATATTAATAATAATACTAATTTATCAGAAGGGGTTTTGTGAAAATTGGTTGAAGTTAGACATTAACACCGTTGGATGTTGGCCGGCCCAGTGATCTAATGTTTAAGCGCTCGCGCATCAGACTGATAGGTCCTGGACTCGAATCTCGTGGGGTTAGAATCGTGAATGCTCACTACTGAGGAGTCCCGTACTAAGACAAAACGGCCATCCAGTGCTTGCAGGTTTTCCATGGTGGTCTAGCTTCGATTGGCTCATGATTTCAACTATTGAAATAGTAATTTATTAATTGAATGAATTAAATGTTTGTTCAATTATGTACTGGGTACCAACTCAACTATACAACATAATGTATACAAATAAACGACATTCTTTACTCTGAATATTAGATGTGTATATTTATCTAGAAACATCCTTTATGCTTACTTTCCACTAACCTTGATGTTATTATTCTATTTTGTTAATTTGCTATTACTTTGCTCATTTGAATTGTCACAACTACTAGCCCATGCACATTTATTCCCTAGACAAATATGGGTTATAATTTACTGACTTCATGTTAGTCTATTTTCAAGAGTTCCGTTATAGTTTTATTTTCCATCATAGTATCGAATATATACCTTAGTATTCTTGTTTATTTATGTATCTAAACACATAAATATTAGTACAAGGGAGCACCAAATATATATAGGCTTCACTTCATCATTCGATTTGTATGAACGCTGGAATACTGCCCCGGGTGCTTAAATCAAAGCTGGTGATTTTCTTAAGGAGCCACTCTTCGAACCTTTGACCTAAACGTCTAATCCACAAGGTAATGGAACAACGTTAGGAGATGTAGTTTTATAGTAACTGGTGGCTAACAAAAGATTCGTACGTCTTTTGTTCGCTCAGGATCCAAGAGTCCATGTGCACCATTGGTTTGAAATCAGGGATTTCTAACTCTCTTAAGTGGGTGCTCCGTATTCACCATTATCATTCTACAAACCTTCATTGTCCACTTGAATATTATTTCAAGACTAATGTGTATAATACTGTTATAACTTGTCGTTTGAATGCTTATTGTCTTGGCTCTTTTAATGCTACTTTTTGTATTTGGTCTTTGCTGATTGTTATGTCGGAAACGCTTATCATTTATACTAGGAACGAGGGACATCTGCGATTCACACGACGCGAAAGTAAGTACACAAAGACTGGTATAAGTGATGATTTATTAACCCTAAAACACGACGACGACGATGACGACGACTTTAGTAGAAAATACACTCATTTATATATTGATTCATACACCCATTTTGATTAACAATTAGGATGAAATCACATATATAACAAATCACATACTGAGCATACTTCATGTCAATGGAATGCAAGATTATCGCATATTATACAGAATAAAATATCATACGAGAAAAGAAAAGAAATACTACATTGAGTAATCATTACATTGAATCAAAACAGAAGTCATCTTGAACTAAACTCATAATGAGTAAAATAAATCGAAAATGACTTTTCTTTCCATCACATCAAATACAAATTAATTTTGATTGAGATCATGAACTCATTGATGTTAGACCACCATTGAAAATCTGGATGCACTAGACGGCCAACTCGTCCTATTGTGGGACTCCTCAGAAGTGCGCATCCACGATCCCGCTCGCGTGATTCGCACCGAAGGCCTTCAGTCTCGCGCGTGAACGCTTAACCTACTGGACCACTGAGCCGGCATCCAGTGGTGTTAATGTCTAACCTCAACCAATCCACGAAGTTGCGCAACCACCTTCCATTGTACTGAGGTAGACACTGAAGGCCTTCGGTTCGATTCTGGCGAGCTTGATCGTGGATGCGCACTGCAGAGGAGTCCCACAATAGAACAAAACAGCCATCCAGTGCTTCCAGGTTTTCAATGGTGGTCTAACATCAGTCGGTTCATGATTTCAATCAAAACTTAACAGTCTCTACAACTACTATATTGACAAATTAATTTCTACTTACACATACAATCATATGATACCTTTTTTGGAGAAATACAATTTTCAAAAAGAAAATACTGATAGACGTCATTTACTTGGATAAACAATTTTCTCCTAAAGATGAAGTTTATTAAGATTATTTTGTTGTAAATCGATTGTCACATACTGATCCATGTAATATATTCTCTGATCTTTAATATTATATTGTTGACAAATTTCTCCATAGCTTGGTAGCTTCAAGACACAGCATTTTGTAGCTTTTGTTTTGACATACATTGATCAATTATATCTGTCATAGCCATCCAGACAAGCTATATTAGCTTGAATGTTCTAGCATGATAGCCACGTAGACTGAAGAATGATAAGACAATTATTAGCAGGTTTAATGTTCAAAATGTTAGGCGTACAGATAAATTTAATGAGAACGATGAATAGTCAAATTAAATTGTGTTTGAGATCATCAACTCATTGATGTTAGACCACTATTTAAAACCTGGAAGCAATGAACGGTCAATTCGTCCTATTGCGCATCCGCTATCAAGCTGGCCGGAATCGAACCAAAGGCCTTCAGTCTCGCGCGTGAACACTTTATCTCTAGACCACTGAGACAGTTGGGATCCAATGGTGTTAATGTCTAACCTCAACAAATCGACGAAGTTGCGCAACTATCTTCCATTGTACTTAGATACCTGTCTCTGCCCGACACGGAATACCGTGGATTGGATAAAGTTAGACATTGACATTGACCACGCGAGACCGATGGTACTGGGTTCGAATCCCACGAACGGGATCATGGATGCGCACTGCTAAGGAGTCCCACAATAGGACGAATCGGCCATCCAATTTTTCCAGGTTTTCAATGGTGGTCTGACATCAATCAGTTCACGATCTCAATCAAAAACTTAATAATCTTCACAACCCCTATACTACACATTCTTGTATTTGAAAAAAAGTATTAAGAATGATACAAAGATATGTAAATGATCATTAAAGAATTCTTGGAAATGCATGCAGCTTAGTCAGATCAAATCATCCAATAGTTAAAATAACTACTGACTCATTGGACATGAAATCGGTCAAGGTAAATGAAGTGTCTAGACATATCTCTATTGTATGTAGAGGTTGTCTACACGTTTCAAAATAGCTAATTTTTTCTGCCGTTTCAAAGATTATAAGTCTGAAAGATTTTGGCATTTAGTTACAAAACCAATGGGTTATTGTAATTGACTGTATCATACTAGCTTTCGTCTTAACTTCTGACGTATTCAAGAATTCTCCGATGTTTTCTTGAACTTTCTATTTATTTATAAATAACTTTAATAGTTGAGACTGTGAGTCAGTCAAAGATAGACCACCATGGAAAACCTGAAAGCACTGGATGGCAGTTTCGTATTATTGTGGGACTCCTCAGTGGTGCGCATCCACGATTCCGCCTCGCGAGATTCGAACCCAGGACAAATGCTCACTAGTGACTGGCTTCAAGATGGGTTTCCTAAAGTTCTAGTGAGAAACAGCGACCAGTGGAGTTCAACCAGGTCTGTTGTGAGATAGTAACTCACTAAAGGCAATGGTGGATGCCGGCCAGCTCAGTGGTCTAGGTGTTGAGTGTTCGCGCGAGAGACCGAGAGGTCATGGGTTCAAATCTTGTGAGGCGGGATCGTGGATGCGCAATGTCGGAGTCCGACAATCGGACGAGTTGATCGTCCAATGCTTCCAGGTTTTCTATGGTGGTCTAACTTCAGTTGACTCACGATCTCATTTATTCAAATTTCTATAATATCCACAAAACCCCTTTTGATATTTATAAATACTTTATCAGTAAACGTTATTTTCAATATCACAATCTTCTCTTTCAACTACTATTTTCTGGTGAGCAATTCATTGCTTGATTTACAAGTAGCTGGAGTGAAAGCAGAAAAATAAATCAGGAATTCATCAATTTAAGTCTTAAAACATCAATGGGAAGATTCAAGTAAAACAATATCAAGTGAATTAAATTTCACCCCATTGCACAAGCAAGTGGCTATCAGGACTTAGTAGCTGAATAGATAACGTGATGCGGTTTGAAGCGAATGGTACTGAGTTCGAGTTTCAGAGTGAACATCAACTCTGAGATGCAGGTACATCCAGCTGACGAGTCCCAAACGGGACGAAACGCTCGTCCTTAGTTCCACTGCTAGCCACTATCCATGTTTGCTTGGAATTCATCATAGTTGGTATATATTGTTGTTTAAATTAGTACAAGGAAGAAACCACATGATCATCTACTGAAAATATTTTAAATCCATGCATACTATAAAATTAATCGTAAAATGAGTAAATTCAGACAATCTGCACAGGGTACACATTCACCCATGAAGACCGACCAAAATCCATTCAGGATTTTCCGAAAACAGATAATTCAAATCCATAATATTGATGATATAGACATCATAACTGTTGGAAATGTTCGTGACTATCTGGATTGAGTAGCTCAGTGGATAACATACCGAATATGTGTCACGTAGAGCGTTTGTTTCGAGCCACAGTGTAAGTTTTGACAATGGGATCCAGGTCTATCCAGTTACATAATCTGAAGTAAGGAAAAATGCGTGTTCTGGATCACGGTACAAGTCACAATGTATTAATTCTATGTATCATGTAACAATAGTTTGTTAAATAAACTGACTTTTCAGTCATACATTATTGAGATAGTTATTGAAATAACAGTTCTTGTCCTACAGTTGTTAAAAATACTTACAGATAAGGCTCGGTAATTAAAGTGATCTTTGAGGAAACAAATGAGCTTCTTGTTCTTATGTACAGAATTCTCTCTCCCCTTCGGTTATTTATTAAGGTAACATTGGTACATACCCATACAGATTGTCTATAAAAAAGAGTTTTATTAATTATTAAAATGACTTTAAAATATTTCATTATTGACATTCAGAAGTATATTTTGATCAGTCTCAGTTGATTCAGTAAATTAACGCGCTGAAGAGTAAATTAGGAAAAGACGATGAAAATGAATAGGACATACATTAAAGAAATCACCAAACTGCATCACAAGGCAAGCCCTAACTTGGAATCCTAAAGAGAAGCGAAAACGTGGAAGGCCAATGAACACATTACGTCGGGAAATAGAGGCAGACTTGAAAAAGATGAATAACAACTGGAAAGAGTTGGAATAGATTGCCCAGGACAGGATAAGATGGAGAGTGCTGGTGGGCGACCTATGCTCCTCCACGAGAAGTAACAGGCGTAAGTAAGTAAAAGTTTGAGGCAAAAACTACTGAATTCAGAGTCTCAGTATGAACATTAACATTGACACAAGTAGGTACACCCTGGTAACGAGACCCTGAAACGAAAAAAGATGCTCATCTTATATTCCACTGCTAGCTATAATTTATCTTTTCAATTGAATGTTTTTATTTTGGCTAATGTATATTAATTTTTTCTTTTCATAATTTAGATTCTTGTCAATTTTTGTCTAACTGTTAAAAGTGGTCAAACAATTGCACTAGTCGGTTCTAGTGGTTCTGGTAAAAGCACTCTGATTCATATGCTTCAACGTTTCTATGATCCTACACAAGGTGAAGTAAGTAGTATTTTACTCATTATGTTATAACTATTTCTTTAATCAAAAGTTTTAATAACGCAAATGGGTTAAAATCCATTTGTTGTCTGATAAATGGAAAGAGAAATGAAATAATAGTTCGGTGTTTAATTAACTGATTGAAATTGAATAAAACCTGGTCGAATCAAGTACTAGTTTAGTTGGCCACAATTTCATACACTGCACCATTATAAACAAAGAACAGTACGGAGAAAATAAAGGGTTAGTAATCTTATATCCCAAGGCTTTGAATCTCCTAGTTGTTAATGCTAAGAAGTCAAATGATCAGTAAGTTTTTTGGCACATCAACAACCCTAGCGCATTACTTCGAAATGAAGTTGGGTAATGGATATAAGTGAAGTCAAGTACTGATATTTTCTCCTATTTGGTACTTGTTAACTGCATCTCAGCGTTTTTGATGTCCACATTATGAATGACAAATTGTCAAAACATCTCAAGTATCACCACTGGACTTTTAAAACACTTAAGAATAGATCTCCTTAATCTGAGAGAAGCTAAGACAAACGAAATCAAATACCTACAAAATAAGTTACAACTGTCCCACGAAATATAACGTTTTTCATCATCTCTATGAAGACTAATTAATTGTCTAGTACCGCAATATTCTCTTTGCTCAGTTCAGTGGATGTAGATGATTATGTACAAGAGTTGGTCTTGTGATAATACCGATTCCCTTCTTAGAGTCAACACTACTTGGTCAAGAGATTCTTAAAAGTTACCTATTTAAGTCGTTTACCAATAAATGAGCGTACTGCAATATACTCATTCTCTCAACCAATTAATAGAACGATAACAGATTGCAAAGCTAGAAATCTGATCATTAAAAACAGTCAGCGAACTATTTTTATAGAAAGAGTGACAGATTAATCATCGGTAGCAAACATCACTTAATAACGAAAATTCTAACTACATCTATTTGAATTTTGTCATAACAAGCCTATTGTGATGTGCGGTATCCGAAATCCGATACTGATACACGGTATGCTATTCACTAACCCTAAGTTGACTACTTGAACGAGAATACAGAGATCGTACTCAGAATTTTCAGGTCTCATGGTAAACGTCTAACCATCAAAGGCATGGAAGCGTTGTTCAATGGCATAATTTATACTTGCAAAAAATTACAATACAGCCTTAATATTACTCAATAAGTTAACAGATTTTCAATATTAGCTACTTTGTGTTTTTTTTCTCTTATATATTACCACTACTGAATTAACTACTTTTATGAATCCGGTGTTCATCTTGTTGTGTTAATGAGGTATGGCTACTTGGACTGATGCATATATGTGCCTGGTCCTACATTGTAGCTGACTGACTGTCTTGTGATGGATTTTTGTTCTCTGAGCTGGATGGTTTGGTCGTGGAGCTATCATCGTACTTCTGAACGACATCATCAGCACAAACTTCAGATAGAAGTGAAGAGTTCGAATTTCTCCACATGTGGTTCACAGCTTGTCCTGTAGACCTCGATGTTGATTGATCCTTGTTGACCTTATACCTGTCATTGTTTACTTCGTTCAGAAGAACGATGAGAGCTCCACGACCAAACCATCCAGCTCAGAAAACAAAAATCTATCAAAAACATCCACCTGAGCTACAAATCTTCTCCACCATCGCAAAACTGACTTGTATTTTTTTATTCTACTTATTACTTATATTTCATTTTAGATTTTAATACAAGGTGTTGATTTGCGTGAATTAAATATTCACAACTATAGAAATCAAATAGGATGTGTACAACAAGAACCTGTATTATTTGATGGTACAATACGTGAAAATATAAGACTAGGTAAACTTAATGCTACTGATGAAGAAATTTATGAGGCTGCTATCAAAGCTAATGCACATCAATTTATAATACGTTTACCACAAGTTAGTTGTATTTTATATTGTTGTTAACTGATAATCTACTGATTGATTATATAATGCTTTTTCATTTTAAATAACCAGTAAATGCCGCCAAACACTCAGCAGTGCGCATCCATGACCCCGCCTCCTGGGGTTCGAACCCAGGACCTACCAGTCTTGCGCGTGAGCGCTTAGTCAGCCGGCATCCAACAGTGATCTCAACTATTGAAATTATTACAATCTCTACAAAACCTCTTCTTATACATACAATATTGTTTTGTATTCTAAAGTGATCAGATGTAGTCTGTAAAGAAGCTTTATTTAATAAATTTCGTTCTATTACAAAGTGTAAAAGTAATCTTCAGGGAGCTAATGTTTCTGTACGATTTGAACTAGCATCACCTACTTTCGCAATCTGAGAAGTTACCATTAAACTATTCGTACGACAATTAACCTGCTCATTTGTATCTAACTGTTTAATAAGTTACTGCATTAAGGTTATTTTCCGTCTTCCCTTGTACAAGTACCTCTAGTTTCATTAAGCACTTTAAAACGCGAATATAACGAAGTTGTATTCCATTAAATATCATCATTTGAATATATGGAGTTTCATTCGTGCTACTAAAATCTAGATATATAAACTAATAGATAATACTAGTACAGGGGTTGTGGAGATTATTAAGTTTTTGATTGCGATCATGAACCGATTGATGTTAGACCATCACAATTGAAAACCTGGAAGCACTGGACGGCCGTTTCGTCTTATACTAATTGGAAAACTAATTAAAAGCGTTAGTTTACACTTGTTTACAACTATAATTAATCAATTCATTAGATAGAAATGACTATAACCAATGATATTTTAGGGCCCATCCTACTCCAGTATGATCAAACGATATATGATATTATTGAAAGATATGACATACTTATCATATATTCCGTTGACTAATAACATTAATCCAAAGTATTAATGAAAAGTCGAATATGAATAATGATTCAGGCATGTATATTCCAAATATTGATTTATCCAGATAGACCTTAAGAAATACATCGTGGATAAAGACTATCCAGTCTTCTCATCAGAGTATTATTCATCACAAATGTCAGTATAACTCTAAAAAGCCATGCATAGTACTAACATGGAGACAGTCGTTGAATACAACGATAAGCCTACAAACACACACGAGCATACGTAAGACATAAAGGTGTAGAATAAAAAAGGGATATTTTCTGAAGGTTATAAGTACTGATGACGAAAAAAGAGGTATTGGGAAGTTGTAAAAGTCTGTCCAGAAGCTAGAACAAATCACGTACGCGTGTCATAGTAAAAAACTTTCTACAACATTATGGGAAATTTCATTTTATCATTTGATCTGTTGGTTTGGAATCAGGATTTTCCAACTCTGCAAGATGGACACTCTCTGTTACTGCTTATATAAATCTGGAATCTCGCTGTGCGGATGTGGTGTGGTGACATGAACCGATGCACATATGTGACAGGTTCTATGTGTGCATACGACTGACTAACAGACCATAAAAAACTTATCTTCAAAAACTTATATGAAATTATAACCATATGTTAAATCGGTTTGATCAGCATGCGTTAGATTCAGTGAAATGGTGCAGGAGCTCTGATTATCATCAGTTTAAACCTGCTTTGCCTTACTTTGGTACAAGGAAGCATCAAATAGATATGCGCCACATAAATCATTCGATTTGTGTGAGGGCTGGGATACTGCCTGTATACCGAAACCGAAGCAGGTGGTTTTCTAAGTGGGCGACACCCTGAGCATTCGACCTAAAAGTTTAATTCCCAAGACAGAAAAGCAGCGGTAGGAGATGCAGTGCAATGATAGCCCGTCACCAACGACTTTTTCCTACGCCATTGGTTCCTTTAGGATACTAGAAATGCTCTGACTTTACACTTCGATACATTCTAATCTTTGTTATCTAACAAACTTTATCAACGCAACCTATTTGAATATCTGGGCTACCTGTTCCCACAATATGCACATTTCAACAAGTTATCTGTTTTCTTGGGTTTTTTTCACACATCATTTTGCCGCATAACCTATTCAGATGTGTTTGTGAAAAATTCAAAAAACATTTCGCTATAAAAGTTACAAAACAGTCAAATCAGATAAATCTTGGTTGCTGACAATATTCATCGAAAATAATATACATTAATCAGATGTCAACTCCTGAACTGCTAATGTAGTTTCTCAAATTGTCTCAAATTTCATTGTTCATGAACTTTCATACCCAACTGAGTTCCATTTCTATTCTTTGTTTATTGATCTTCTATTGAAATACATTCTATGCCTGACCACTGTTATATACTACTACTTATATAGATATAAGTAACCCACACCACACTAACATCTAACTAGCAACCACTCAATATTTATCGTCAATATCGATCGAGATGTAAAAAACGGAAACTTGTTAAAATACTTTGTGTTGAGAACCCTATATTGTACCAAAAACTATAATACTGAATAAAACCACTAATAGTAATGATAATAATAAAAATAGTAGTAGTGGTAATCATAATAGTAATAATAAGTTGGTGATAAACTACAAACTACAGTTAAGAGCTAAAGTTCGAAATTCCATTATATAAATATAAATTCTTCATTATTATTAATGTCACTACTTAAAGTGTACACGTAATGGTTAATATTACTAATTATCTATTACTAATCAGTAGTTACTTTATTTTTTTCGATAATAAAACTGAACTTTAATCTTATAATTTAGAATAGTTTATTAAAATAAATAAACATTTTCAAACTTTTCCGTTTATTATCAGAAGTGGTTTTATGGATAGTATAGTAATTTTAATAGTTGAGATCATGAGTCAATTGAAGTTAGACTATCATGGAAAATCTGAAAGCACTGGTAGGCCATTTTGTCCTATTGTGGGACTCCTCAGAAGTGTACATCCACGATCTTACTTCGTAAGATTCGAATCCACGACCTATCGATCTCACACTTAACCTATAGACCACTGAGCCAGTCGGAATCTAACAGTGTTAATGTCTAACTTCAACTAATCCATGAAATTGAGCGACACATCCGCCATTGTCATCAGTGAATTATTATCTTACAACAGACCCGTTTGAACTCCACTGATCACTGCTTCTCACTTGAATTTCAGGTAATACCACTTGAAGCCAGTCACTAGTGAACATATGTTGATTAGTATCAGAAGAGTTTTTGTGGATATTATAGTAATTTCAATAGTTGAGATCATGAGTCAAATTTTTTTCTGTTTATAATAATTGAAGACTTGAATCACAGAGTTTATCATTTCGATAAACAATTTCCTTTTTTTTTGTTTTGGAGAATTTGAGTACAAATTTAATTTTGAGACAACTTAAAAATAATGTGTTTTAATTGAGATTATAAATGGATAAATGTTAGAACACCACTGAGAATCTTGAAGCATTAGACGACCAACTCGTCCTAGTATGTGACTCCCCAGTAGTGCGTGTTCACAATCTCGAACTCAGGATTCGTACCCAGGACTTTCGGTCTCGCGCTCAAACTTCTAATTCCTGGAACACTGAGGCGGAATCCAACGATATTAGTGTCTAACTTCCATCGGTCCATGATTTAAGAACGATTAAAAAATTTAGAGAAAAAAACAGCTGGTTCATTCATTTTTATTTATTTCGAAGTTATACCAAATCACAAACATCCTCAACACTGTTTCATGTGATATTTTGTACTTTGAAGTGTAATAACGGATTTGACATAGTTAAATTATGAAACTATGATCAATTTACAATAATACAATACAAATATTCAATGTTATCTTACTTCACCTAGATGAAAAATTCAAGAATCTTGGGGTAAATTCACTAAATTTGTGGTGTGGGCTACTTATATCTATATAAGTAACAGTATATAACAGTGGTCAGGCATAGAATGTATTTCAATAGAAGATCAATAAACAAAGAATAGAAATGGAACTCAGTTGGGTATGAAAGTTCATGAACAATGAAATTTGAGACAATTTGAGAAACTACATTAGCAGTTCAGGAGTTGACATCTGATTAATGTATATTATTTTCGATGAATATTGTCAGCAACCAAGATTTATCTGATTTGACTGTTTTGTAACTTTTATAGCGAAATGTTTTTTGAATTTTTCACAAACACATCTGAATAGGTTATGCGGCAAAATGATGTGTGAAAAAAACCCAAGAAAACAGATAACTTGTTGAAATGTGCATATTGTGGGAACAGGTAGCCCAGATATTCAAATAGGTTGCGTTGATAAAGTTTGTTAGATAACAAAGATTAAAATGTATCGAAAAGTAAAGTCAAAACATTTCTTTCTACATGACACAAACATAAACTTTTACAAAGATGGATAGTGGCTAGCAATGAAGTCCAAGGTGTGTGTTTCACCCTAGTTCCGACTTGTCAGCTGAATTTATCTGCATCTCAGAGTTGATGTTCACTCTTGAACTCCATCGCGTCATTCACTTAGCTACTTAGATGCAGGTATATCCAGCTGATGAGTCTTAAATTAGACGAAACATGCGTCGTAAATTCAACTGCTAGTCACTATCCATTTTTGTTTATAATGCTTGTGAACTAAAGCAATATCGAGGCAGTCCGCACAAAATCCACATATGTCAATAAGAGACTGATCAATTACAGTCCTAAATAACAATGGGAAGATACAAGTAAACAACATCAAGTGAATTTAACAGAAATTTTTCACCTTTCAATCATGAACCATTAAATATAAAAATATTAACTGTTGAAGTAATTTTATGCAAACAAAATTGGAAGAATAGATTTACCTACTTTATTTATTTACGCCTGTTAATCCTCCTGGGGGAGCATAGGCCGCTCACTAGTATCCTCCTCCAGTTGCTATTCTTTCTTTTGATATCTTCTTCCAATTCTTTGCGCAATATTTCTTTTAGTCTCCCTCTTTTCCATTTCCTCTCAGGATTCCAAGTTAACACTTGCCTCATAATATAGAGTCCGATAATTTCTACAATGTCGGTCTCACCCACCTTCAATGTCTTTTCTTAATTTCTTTTTCATCAAGAATATAATTATTAGATTATTCAGAAATCTTTGAAAATATATAATATTCTTATCATTACTTACTTACTTACTTACTTACCTACGCCTGTTACTCCTAATGGAGCATAGGCCACCGACCAGCATTCTCTAACACACTCTATATTGGGCCCTCTTTTCTAGTTCCATCCAATTCTTGTTCATTTTTCTCATGTCTATCTCCATTTCTCAGCCTAATGTGTTCTTTGATCTTCATCTCCTCCTTTGACCTTGAGGATTCCATGTGAGGGCTTGTCTTGTGACGCAGTTAGAAGCTTTCCTCAATGTGTGCCCTATGCACTTCTAGCGCTTCTTCCTGATTTCTTCCTCCGCTAGAATCTAGTTTGTTTTTTCCCACAGTAGGTTGTTGCTAATAATATCCGAACAACGGCTAATATTTTTACCAGAAAAGATCCCAAATTGAACTAAATTATTTATATTATCTTATTTTAATTTTTATTCTTAGGGTTATGATACATTAGTTGGTGAAAAAGGGAATAGTTTATCTGGTGGACAAAAACAACGTATAGCTATAGCTCGTATATTAATACGTAAACCAAAATTATTATTATTAGATGAAGCGACATCAGCATTGGATACACAATCAGAACGTATTGTACAAAGAGCATTAGATAAAATTGTGAATAGTTGTACTGTTCTAATTATAGCACATCGTTTATCAACAATTATCAATGCGGATTGTATTGTCGTCCTTGAACAAGGTTGTATACGTGAAATGGGTAAACATAAAGAATTATTGAAATTAAATGGTTTATATGCAACAATGTATTATGGTCAAGTGAGTTATTATCAATTCTTTATATATAATCAGTTGTGATAGTCGGTAATCAATATAATCTTTAAACGTCGTATATAGAGTTCGTCCACATAATGGTTACTAGAGAATGTTTTCAACGGTGTATAATTCAGAAGGTGAATATGAAATGTTGACTAAGTTAATTATTGTACCATGTAGAGATAATCAAAATTACAGGTACGCTAAACAAGCATGAAAGAGTAGTGCCGAAAAGCTAGCAAGGTAAGCGAGTGGACGTGCAAATCGAATGAGCGAGTATGCGAGCCAGTCAGCGAGTACATGTACTATGAACAGGATTAAAATGTGCATATAATTTACATAAGGAAATGAATGAATCATTGAATCAATTAAGCGACTAACAGTAAGGCTAGCTGAATGAATATATGAATAGGCAGTAAGCAATGCTCAAGCATGCATATTCATACAAGTGCAACAATGATAAAGATATAATGATGTAAGATAAGTTGTTATTGTATGGAAGGACTCCATCTGTTATATAAGTTAACAAAAGAGCTTAACCAAATGAAATAAGAACAAACTCAATTGCACGTGAGCCGCTATACAGCACATAACTGAATGAATTTAAGTGAAATTTCATTTCTCCTGGGATCTTCCTCGAAATAAATCTTTTTTTCTCTTAAAGTATTTAAGGTTGAGAAAGAAACAATCGTATCCTGGTCCAAAGTATCGTTAGAGCAGCACTTGTTAGAATAAATCATAATAATAATAATGTACAAACTTAACAAGCCATTACTCGATCAAAGTTGAAATATTTCAATCAACAAGAGTATAAAATAGGATCATGGAACGATTAATTTTAGACTACCATTGAAAACCTGAAAGCTCTAGACAGCCGTTTCGTCCTAGTATGGAACTTTTCAGTAATACATGTTCTCAACCTCGCACGTACCTAAGACATTCGGTTAGGCGCGCAAACGTTTGACCTGTAAACCACTGAGCTGTAATCAAACGATGTTAATGTTCAACATCAGTTAATCCACAACTTTCCGCGATCGCCTTCTATCGTCTTGAGTAGACAACTACCTAACACCTAACACAGTTGAATCCCACTGGCGACGGCTTCTCACTAGAACTTCAAGAATTAACTTCCGAAGCTATTAAACTAGTAAGCACATGATGATTATCAGTATAAGATTATGAAGGTCCTGGGTTTTAGTCTCGCATCCGGGATTATGTATCTACACAACCATATACTGATAATAGTAGAATAGACCAAGAAAGTAAGTTACTCAGCTACAACGTACGACCTGGCACATATATGCATCTGTCTAAGTTGCCACACCTCATTAGCACAATATGATGAACGCTGGATTCATAGAAGTGGTTAATTCAGTGGTGGTAATATATAAAAGAAAGATTGTGTATAAGGACATAGTATAGGATGAAAGAACTAGTCGGTAGAAAAAAGATATAAAGCAGTTTTAATCTCACGGTTTGAGGCAAGGTAAATCGTGTATACACCTACACCATTGTAATCGATTCTGAGTCATGTTACACAGAATCTCCAACCAATAGTTACGATAGTCACGCGGACTCCAACCAAGTGGTCTGCATCTACCAACATGGCTCAGATCAGAAGTTAGTGACTTTGTGAACTGATGCCACGTTTTGGTTTGGCCATCCTTGGCCTTCTTCCAACCATCACCAACACTAGTTCACATTATGTGTCGTGATAATCGGTGTTCAGGCATATGTTACACGTGGCTCAACTATCTCAGTCGACGTGGACGTACAACCTCATCAACCGATTACCCATCATTACCTAATACCCTGCGTCTAACCTCACTATTACTTACCCACTGATCCCAGCAAATGCGAGCAATATTTCTAAAGCGTCTATGGTCAAATACCAACAAACATGTCAAGATCTTGTTTGTCGAAACTTTTTTTTAAATAACTTTAGATTGAAACTTGAGAAAAACCTGATTGAATAAATAAACGAATGTTTATGAAATCCTAGCGTATAAATTATGTTTTCTGGTTAGCGTTTTTTTAGCGAGTTAGTTTTCTACGGGATGGGGTCGCTAACCCCATCCCCAACCCTCCTCCTTTACCCGGGATTGGAACCGACAGTAACTCTAGAAGAGCTACAGGAGGAATTTGAAATCCAAATCAGTACATATAATTGCTAAGATACATAAATATATAAATAATGATATGTGCATCATTCTGGTACATTTTCAAGTGTATTTTAAACAGTTTAAATCAGTAACCAGTTTCTTTTCAAAGAAAACACTTCATCTTGTATATGGTTGTTCTGTTATCACAATACTCATATGAGTCATTTATGAATGGAATTTTTCATTCCTTTACTAAGTGATAGCAATTACGATCTTAAAAAATGTAATACACAAATGAACAAATGAAAATGTAGTACCCTTATGAAGTTTACTTAGCCATTTATATTGTTATTGTTCTGTAACAATTACTATCATCACAGAAGTAATCAATAAACTACGAGAAATAATCAATCAAATAAAATGATCATCTTCATATTGTATCAGTCAGTCAGTAACAACGTAGAACTTCGTACCTACGTACGTACATCAGTTCAAGTTGCCATACCACATTAGCACAGAGATGCATTTGTCGATTCAAATCCCATATTGGTAGAGGTAGTAAAAGTATAATATGGTGGCAGTAGTTGGAAACAATAGGGTTTCAAGAGTATATAGTGAATTTGGAAAGAGAAAAATAAAAGGACATCAAAAATTCATAAGATTAGAATTTGGGAGAACACAAAGAGTGGATGCACCTGCGCCGTTGTAAACGATTTTGAGCCATGCCATTCAAGGTTTCTAACCATCGGTTGCTATCGTTTCGCTAATCAGAACTAGATAGTCTACACTTACCAACATGGCTCAGTTCACTTGTCAGTGACTTCATGGACTTGCGCCATGTATACAATTCTTTTAACGTATATTGTATTAAATAATTTCTGTCGATTATTTCCAAACATGATCAAAGCCAACTTTTAAAGTTTGATTGTGATTTAATTACTTAAACCTTAAAGGCACCTGATCGCTGATGATAAGATGAATGAAATTTATATTACTTACACCTGTGTTTACGAGATGGAGTTACTAACCTCATACCCAACGCTTCTTTATCTGGGCTTGGAATAGACAGTAACCTAAGAAAAGTTTCAGGCGGAATTATATATATATATATATATATATATATATATATATATATATATATATATATATATATATATATATATATATATATATATATATATATATATATATATATATATATATAATGTTTTAATCAGTCTGTTCTGGTGTACTATCCTGAAGTAACTATCTATTTTTAGTAATTTCAAGATTGCACTTTAGGCACATTGTTTGCCTTGATAACCTGATTTCTGAATAAATAATTATTATACACTTTATCTAATCAATAATGGATGTCCATTAACCTACTTCTAAGTATTCCCTAACAATCTTGATTTGTTAGTTATACATAAATGTTGTTTCATCAGTAAAAGGTCAATGGTATTTCACAACTTCCAAATGTTTTAGCGTTCAGAGCACTTGATATTAAATAAATATGTCTCAAGTTTGAAATCTTTTCACCATTTAGTTTAGTTTACACAATTGAATAGTATCAATATCTCTCATATACCAACCTTGAATTCTAACTCAGTTACATAAAACTTTTTGACTGATCATTAACTATAAATAAAATCATAATATCACTTTTGATTGAGATCATGAACCGAATGTTGCTAGACCACCAGTGAAAACTTGGAAGCACTGGACGGCTCTTCCGTCCTATTGTGGGACTCCTCAGCAGTGCGCATCCACGATCCCGCCCGCGGGATTTGAACCCAGCGCCTTCAGTCTCGCGTGCGAACGCGATTTGTATTTTGGGAATACGTTTGTTTTTATTCCAATTTGAATAAACAGTAATACAGATGATCAGTTACTTCATGAATAATGATACATACCCCTTAAACAGGTTATGTACCTAGCAGTAGTATCCTATTTGATCTCATGATGTAGTTACTGTGTTTAGATCTCAACGTAAAGGTGTGGTAATACGATTGATACATGCCTACGTGATTTATTCTAACTTTTGAGCATGCAAATTTATTATTTTTGAGTCATTATGTACACATATTTAGCTCTTGTCAAATACTTGCCTCTTATATGTAAATATGTCTGTTTTTCACTTACTCTATTCATTATCTGTTCTTATCTTGCTTTTATCTGTCTCATTACAAATGCTGAATCACACTAAAAGTATGTAGGCTAGAAAGCCCTACTCGGCTCAGCGCCTCTCGTGGTCAGTCTGAATGATATGTGCTCATCCACAATCCTTAGCACTTCAACTTTCGATAAGTAGGATATATACATTGCATTAATTTCATTATCGGTCGATCATAATAGAGTCAGACAGGTTTTAAAAACGTAACATCACAGATAGATCGAACTAATGAATCCTTTTATAGGAATGATGCATATGTCTTAAATTCAATTATCAAGCACAATTCAAACACCACATTCTTTATTTTTGTTTTGATTTAAAAGGAAAGGATCGATAAAGAACAAGATGATTCTACAGATGATGAAGACAATTACAATGAAAATGATGAAGCAAAAAGACATTTAACTAATCAACTTCCATCTCCATTTCCAAAAGATGATTATTCCGAATGTAATGTATGTTTTAATGTTAATTTTTAAATGATATATATTCTTTTATAAGGAAGAAATCATAATAGTTGCATGAAGTATACATCTAATTTAGATTCATCAGAACTACATAATAACATGTAAGCGTAATACATTTCAAACAATAGTCTGATCACATGTTTACTTAAAAAGATATTTATCTGGTGGGCGGCCTATGATCCTCCACGAGGAGTAACAGGCGAGATGGTGGAGAAGATTTGTAGCTCAGGTGGATGATTTTGGTGGAGTTTTGTTCTCTGAGCTGGATGGTTTGGTCGTGGAGCTTTCATCCATCCAGCTCAGAGAACAAAACTCCACCAAAAAGGAGTAACAGGCTTAAGTAAATAAGTAAATAATGTTTACTTATTAAGATATTTATCTATGGAAAAAAGTCAAATGACATAAACTGTAAGATATTAAGGAAAAAAACATAATGAATTGCACTACTCTAGATAAATAAATCAGCGTTACCCATGGTTGGCATCAACATCAATGGATTTCAAAAATGAGAACTTGGTTACAATGCAAAGTTAAAGACTCACAGTGAAGAATTCTTTTTTGGCAAAAACGAGATCTTATACATCAGCATTGTTTTAAATGTAGAAAGTTGATACATTATCTTTCAAATCAATCGGTGATCAAAGATAGAGGTGTCACACTGGCTTGGAATAAGTCAGATATCGTCAATGATAATCTCATGAACTTAGAGGTTTTATGGTCTTATATTTGATCCACAACAATTTCGTGAAGTCTTGATGCTGAGGAACATAATACTTAGATGAAACCTTGTCCAATGCTTATAAATGTACCAAGGTTTCTTAAATGAAGTCAGTCCCTGATGTAAACTACTATCAGTTAAAAGTTCTTCATCTAAAACTAAACATCTACCTGTATGTTCTTTTGTTATAACGAAAAATGGATCTAATTGTTCGTGTCACTATAACTAGATACAACATTAGGATACCTGATTATATTACATATTCGATTCAATTATCCAGTTGTTTGATCAAGAACTAGACTAAACCATCACAGGAGTTTTTTTGACATAATTATGAAACAGTCGATTGTTGGAATCAAAATTGAAGTACATTTTGATAATAAATAAGATAACCTCCTGTTTTTATTATAGTTAGACATGTTTGTCTTTATATATTGACGGTGGCTCAGTTTCGTAGATTGTTTAAAGTTAGATATCAATACCGTTGGATGCCGAGCGGCTCAGTGGTCTAGAAGTTAGGCGCGAGACTGATAGGTCCTGAATTTGAATATGGCGAGGCGGGATCGTGGATAGTCACTGCTGAGGAGTTCCACAATAGGACGAAGTGGTCATCCAGTGCTTCCATATTTTCCATGGTGGTCTAGCATTAATTGACTCGTGAATTCAACTATAAAATTACTAAAATCTCCACAAAACTCCTTCTGATTATAATTACAGATTGATCTGATCTCTTAACTCTCTTAATTATTTCATTTACTCTCTAGTAAAAACTGATAATTAATTTCTATTATACATTGTAGAGTGTTACAACGAGTTCTTTACATAATAAAACTGTAGTATGGATTGCAACAAATATTAACACAGAGGTTAGTAATTACTTTATAATCTAGTTTCATATAGACACATATACACATACACACATAAACACACTTTAATTCTTACCACTTGTTAGTAACAGAATTAGGGGCGGCCAAACCAAAACGTGACATCAGTGCTTGAAATCATTAACTTCTAGTCTGAGCCATGTTAATAGATACAGACTACTCGGTTGGGGTCCATGTGACTATCGTAACCGATGGTTGGTGATTCTGGTTGACTTGATTCAGAATCAATCACAATAGCGTAGGTGTATACACTCTGTCTTCCCTTAAAGTAAGAGATTAAAATCGCTTCATATCTTTCTTTCTACGAATTAATTCTTTCTTCCTGTACTATATCCTTATATGCAATCTTTCTCCTATATATTACCACCTTTGGCCTAACCACTCCTATGAATCCGGTGTTCATCTTGCTGTGCTAATGCGGTATGGCTACTTGGACCGATGCATATATGTGCCTGGTCCTATGTTGTAGCTGGCTGACTGACTGAACAGAACATGAAACTTTCCAAAAGTAATTACAAGAATGATCTCAAAATGAAAGTATCAATGATTTGAGATATGAATTTTCGTTTGTTAATAGGAAATCTTGATCGATCGACGATATATATATGGATGTAATAAGAGAAGATGATTTGTAGTGGCTGTGCTTCGATAATTAATCACCCTCGAACCGTTATCGTATAATCTTCAACGATGTTTGAAATCAGAAGGCAAAAAGAAGCAGCTACTACAGTTTATTTAGTAGATAATTCGGAACAGACAGCAGAGAGGCAAAACGAATGAGCAAGCGAACTACGATTGTAGCAGTAGCAAGTAGTAGTAGTAGTAGTGGTAGTAGTTGTTGTTGTTGTTGTTGTAGTGAATGGGTGCAAATGTACACATATATATATGTATAGGAAAATGGATGAGTCAGCGAATAGACTAAGCAGTTAATAATGAAGCTAGCAGAATGAATACATGCGTAGGCGCTAAACAATGTTCAAGCATATGTATTTCATACAAGCGTAATAATAAAGATAGTACAACAAGTTGTTATATCATGGATGACTTTGTCCATTAAATAGGTCAACAAAAGACCTTGACTGAACTAAACTCAATTGCACGTGAGTCACTATAGATTATTAACCAGAAGAACCGATTTTCTTAGAATAAAGTTCTTTACAATGAAATCATTTGATGATTAGATTGTTATAAATCAGTTATCAATTATCAATTCAGTGGATTGATCACTCTCTAAGGTACTCAATCTTGACTGTTAAGCATAATTCTAAATGAAATATGATACATCTTTTCAATCAGTAGTAAGACTGTAAGACACTTGAAAATATTTCAAGCATCAGTTCGCTCAAGTATAAATGATACATCTTGCTGATGTGTGCCCAACAGCACGAAATCTAGGTCTAGGATTTCCTGTTGACTACTTCCAATCACCATTTTATCTTACTATAGTGCACTCAATGTCGAGTCGCCTAAACGGGTGACCATATTGCAACTTGATTGATAGTATTCGATCTGCACTATGATGGGCCTGACTTTGTATACAAAAAAAATTTACCACTTGAAATAAATGTAATTTTTTTCTACAGTTTGATTAGTTACCATCTGAACACCTTTAAGTGATACAATTTCATGTATCCATAATAGTGATGATGGAAAGTCCAAAATCCTTATTCAACTAAAGAATACTGAATATTACTGTTTAATTAATCTCCATATAATTTTCTTTAATATTACACCGCAACACGGTACTTTGCCTTTTCATATGAAGATACTGAGTAAATCATCTTGAACCATTGATTACTCATTTGAATATCGATGTTCAAGTTACCATGGTAACAATTCACAAAACCACTAGATTATTTAATGTGTTCTATTGTTATACTGAATAGTTACGTAATAAACCACGATTTAATTTGTCTTCAGTATTTTTTTTTAAATTTTCCTTCTTTAAACTTATTTCAGATTAGTAGAGTTCACAATTCTTTGTACTTGCGTCTTTTAAGCATTAATCAACCAGAAATGATTTACATTACAATGGGTTGTTTCTGTTCAATTATATCAGGACTATTACAACCAGCTTTTTCACTTCTTTACGCTGAAGTTTATCAGGTAACATATAACAATGAGTTAGTTTGTAATAGTTACTATATAAATACTATTCTTGTTGTATAGTCGGATTTGGTATCATAAAGGAATGTTCTATGCGTTTTATGTTTTATGTGATTCATAACAGGCTTTATAGTATACATTTGTCACTTGAAATAAGGAGATAGTAACACTGAGTGATGCAAATTCATATTGTACAGCAAAATATCAGTTCTTTTAAAGTTACTCATATGCTTTATTGTCAATTTCAAATTATCATCAAACTGACATTCAGGACTTTCTGCTGATCAACACTTTTTACACTGATAAGATGGTGATTGTAGGTAGTCAACGGGAAACTCTGAATCTAGGTTTCGTGCTACTCGGCACATGTCGGCAAGGTTTACCTGTAATCTTGAAGGAACTGATGCTTTCTGACGGGTTCGATCCTGTGTCACCCAACTGTTGACTTCCTGTTGACTACCTTCAACCACCATCATATCTCCACATAGTGCACACAATGTCAAGTTACCTAGACTGGTGGTCACATTGCGACTTGGCTGATAGGATGTGATCTGCATTAAGAAGGATCTGACGTACATGACATTGATCACCACCCAGTGATTAATCAATTGTAAATATTATTTACACTGAGCAATATTCGCTAGTGTAGGAATTTGTTAGAAGGAATTTAGAGGTGGCCAAATCGAAACATGATATCAAACCATAAAGTCATTGACTGTTAGACTGAGCTGTGTACTGGCCAATAAAGAATAGCTGATGGGGTTACGCTCAACAATTATGACTATTGGCTGAATATGTTGGGTGGTACGGTCAAGAGCAGGACGTGATGGCACATATATTATTCACTCTTTGTTTTTCTTCGATATCTTTAATTCCCAAATTATTCTGAGAATTCATGTTTTCTTCTTTAACAGTATTCCTTATGAATATTGTCTTTTATAACCACTGATACGTCTACTACTTTTCTATTCACCTTAATAATCCCATCATATGTTGATGTGAAGGGACTAATTGAACCGATCCACATATATAACAGGTTTTACATCGCCTACGACTTACACAAAAAAAATTGAAATGATTATGAATGAGTAGTATATGTTTACTTCATAGCGTGTATAAAGGTCTTTACACACTTAGATACGACAAAATAAAGCCATTTGAATGCTTATCATATGTACACGTTGACAGTATATCTCTGATGTTATATCATGTAAAATTGTGGTTGATTATTCACCATGTATAAAAGTAATTATAAGTTATTAACTAAAGTACATGAAAATAGCTTCCCTAGGTTTTATTAAGCTTCGAAGCAGGCAAAAAGGGCGGATTTCATGTTTAATCAGTTTATTAGATTTTCACTCACATATACATAAACAGAAAAAGATAGTGGCTAGCAGCGTAATCCAGTTTCGTTCTACTTAAGACTCATCAGCTTGATGTGTCTACATCTCAGAATTGATGTTCACCCTGAGACTCGAACCCAGTACAATTGGCTTCAAATTTATAATTTGCACAAATATATTCCGTAGTTTTATTTCAAGTGCTAATAAACAGTGTTTGGTATCTTATGTCACATGGGACAAAATGGGTTTATCTTGGCAATCTGTACAATATATACACACATATGACTGGTAAGATTGATTAAAATTTAATCAAGATCATTAATAAAGGAATATTTCAATCTTTCCTAATAATGACATAATTATCATATTTGTTGAATATATGGGCGGTCATCTAGACTTAATAGCTTATTGGATAATGTTTTGGGCATTTTAATTGAAAAGTACTGGGTTCGAGTCTCAGAGACAAGAATCATATCACCAAATAGTTTACATTATATATATTGATACTGTAAACTAATAAAGCCTTGACTCATGTTGAATTGTTTTAAGTAGTATAGACATAAATAGACAAGTGTACAACAGCAAATTTGGGTTGTTTTAAATGGAATAAGATTGATGTGCCTTAAATATAGTGAAATAAAATAGCAGTATCAGAGAAAGCACCATATATATGTATCTATATACACACATTATCGTCTTTATATTGTGTGTTAATTTTAGGTATTTGGATTACGTAATAATCCTGATAAAATGATTGAAAGAATTAATACAGTTTCTGGTATTATGGCCGGATTAGGATTTGTTCAATTGATTGTCGGTGCAATGCAGGTAAAATATAAACTTTTTATTTCATACACATAGTTTCCTTTATTAGAGAACAAGAACAAAGATTGGTGCAGAATAATAAATGGATTCATTTTATTGCATTACGTTCTCATCAGTTGCTTACAACGTATTTTATATTTCACTGATTGAAATCATGAGTCAATTGAATCTAGACCATCATGGAAAACCTGGAAGCACTGGACGACTATTTCGTCCTGGTATAGGGCTCCTCAGCAGTGCACATCCACGATCCCGCACCCCGCGAGATTCGAACCCGGGATTTATCAGTCTCGCGTCAGGCACTTAACCAACTAGACCACTGAACCGGTATCCAACGGTGTTAATGTCTAACTTCAACCAATCCACGAAATTGCGCCACCGTACACCATTTTCTTCAGTGAGTTGATGTCTCACAACAGACCTAGCGCGAGACTGATAGGTTCTGGGTTCGAATCTCGCAGGGTGCGGGATCGTGGATGCGCACTGCTGAGGAGTCCCATGCTAGGACGAAACGGCCGTCCGGTGCTTCCAGGTTTTCGATGGTGGTCTAGCTTCAACTGACTCATGATTTCAGTCAGTGAAATTTCTAAAATCTCCACAAAACCACTTCTGATATTATTTCATATTCTCAAATCAACGTTATTACAGATATTGACATACTTATGTATAAGAAGATGATTAAAGATGTACGATGATGTAATGAAGATTTCAATAGAGGTAATAAGGCCATAAAAATTGTTTGTTTCGGATGAATAAAGTTTGGGAGGGAAGGTTCTAGAACATTGAAATAGTGATTAGGACTCATGGAATTGAAAAAACACATTAGATGATTATTTAATGAAGTAACTGAGATTAGATTAATGGTAATATAAAGAAAGATATGAATTGAGATCGGTCAGTTGTGAATTAAAGAAAAATGGCAATGATGTAATTTAAACTTCAGAAGGAGTTGAAATAATGAATGACGTAATAAATAAAAAAAGGGGGGGTCCCCCTCACGAAGCTAGTCACTAGTGAGTACATGGTATTATCAGACTAGGGTTGTGAATATTATCAAGCTTTCGATTGAGATCATGATCGTGATGGATGGGTGGATGTACCTGTATCTCAGAGTTGATGTTCATTCTGGAACTCGAGATACAAGTACATCCAGCCGACAAGTCTCAAACAGGATGAAACGCGCATCCTAGATTCTAGTGCTAACTATTATCCATCTTTGTTTAGAATGTTTGTGAATAAAGGTAGTATCGAGGTAATATTGACAGAATGTACATGTGCCAATAAGAGACTGATCATTTGCAGTCCCAAACATCAATGGGAAGATTCAAGTAAAACAATACTAAGTAAATTTAACGGCATGGTTTAGAAAAGGTAACACAAAATCTATCCACTGAGCCATTCTTTCTCATTTTGTATTTAAAAAATATGATATTCAGATAAATGAACTTTTTGCTATTTTTATTAAGCCTCAAATAATCTGTTTAGAAGTGTAAGATTACAAATCCTTTATATAACTGAAGCCATAGGGATCAACTCCATAAGGCTTAACTTATGCATCCAAAAGAAGTATGTTTGACATATCCAGGACTGTATTACCATTAAATTAAACTGGACATTTTAAACCCCTTTACCCACCAATTCCCATTATCGAAAACATGAATCAATTTAAGTTGAACTATCATTGTGAACCTGGAAGTATTTCCTGGCTATCTTAATGGTGGTCAATGAAATTAATCAATCTCCCAAACGCCCTCCATTTCTAGACAACTTGACGTTTTATTGATTTATATATAAATGTTCTTCACAAGTGTATGTGTGATCAGATTGTTCGAAATGGATTGCGGTAATATATCACATAGTTCTTTGTCTTCTTATTACACTATCGATATCCCCTATTATCCACATATGTTATTCATATGATTTATGTTATAATTATTATTTTCATTATACCTGGATACTTTGTGACGAGTTGTTCTGATCTTTCTCATTTACAAATGACACAATTTTGAAGTATTTATGCCATAACAAATGTAAAACTTCACCATTTTCAATATAATAATATTATCTGGTTCACTAATTCATGCCGTAACTTGGCCTTTTGTAGAAAGAATACAATAATTATGAACTTATTACTGTATGGTCTGATGACAAAGTTATTGAAAACAATTATTCACTTTAATATTCTTTGTTTCAGAACATTCTATGAAGTATACATATCGTGGAAGCGCACTGCTAAAGAGTCCCTTGATAGGACGAAACGGCCGTCTAGTGCTTTCAGGTTTTCCATGCTGCTTTAGCTTCAATTGATTCATGAACTCAACTATTAAAAAAATATACATATAAGTTAACTGATTTGAGTCCATACTATGTTATTACTTGATACCATTCAAATTAGTTTATATGGTAGTTTTTACTGAAGACTTGTTATCAGCTACAAAACAATGCAAAACCATAAAAATTATGTAAATCATTCACTGAATAACAATGTAATCTTCTCTCCTTAAGATATCAGAATACTGAATTCGATTTGATGTTTGATTGTTGTTAGTATATTGTTGAGAAGTCTCATACTAGACATTAACACCTTTCCAATGTGTTCCCTGATGTTGTCAATCGTTATATAATTCATCTCAGTAAGTTTATGATAAGTATGCTCTAGGTCGTGGATGTGCACTGCTGGCTCAGTGGTCTAGTGGTTAAGTGCTCGGGCGCGAAACCAGTGGGTCCTGGGTTCAAGTCTCGCAAGGGGCGAAGTCGTGGATGCGCACGCTCTTGGTATTCAGTTATACATGGTCATCAGTTATATGCTATATAAAAAAGTCGAACAGTGACTAGAGTTAGAAAACTAATTACTTAAGTTTCTTCATTGTATAATTTTTTATGTAAGGGTTAGTGATACTATTACCCAGTTGTCCAAACTTAAATACGTGGAGCGATATTTGAATCTGTATGTTAATCGTTTGAAGTTGAATACTTCGACATTCTCTTTAGCATTTCGTTCCGAAGACTAATTGTAATATATATTGACTTCAAATACATCAGTATACCAAGAAGAAAGTATTCATTCTTTATATTAAATAATCATCCAGTGCTTCTAGGTTATCCATGGTGGTCTAGATTCAATTGACTCATGATCTCAACTAATAAAATTATTATAATATTCAAAAACCACTTTCTGATACTAATCAACATATGCTCACTAGTGACTGGCTTCAAGTGGTATTTCCTAGAGTTCTAGTGAGAAGCAGTGATCAGTGGAGTTCAACCGGGTCTGTTGTGAGAGAGCAACTCACTGAAGACAATGGTGGATATGTTACTCAATTTCGTGGATTAATTGAATTTAGACATTAACATCGTTGGATGCCGACAATACTATCACGATAATCAGTTCACTTGTGTATATTCATATGATACACCTTGAATTTAATTGACATATTCATTCTAGCAACATCATTTTATTGAATTCCAATAACATTTTTATTCCTTTAAAAATTAAATTAGGGTTATTTATTTGGAGTCGCTGCAGAACGTTTAACTAAACGTTTACGATCAAACTTGTTCGACTCTATGCTGAAACAGGTAATCTATTGTTATATTTATCTTAGATTGTTGAAATTAAGCGACAGGAATTCCTAGACCTTGGTTTCTTGTTGGTTAGGACCTACCAACAATGTGTACATTTAATCTTGAGGGAAAGACGTTACCATTGAGCTATTCAGATAATGGTTAGACTCCTATAGAACTGATATTTTTACAACTGATTGATAACTTAATATTGGTCAACCCCATGTTTGAACATCTCTTTAAGCATCGGTCGACATCTATCAACCGAACTGAAATATATCCACTAATTTAATTAGACTTGACAACAATTAGAAATTACATAACGCTATCTGAAAGGAATTCTGAACGTAGTTTATCAACGACCAGTTCCTTTTAATGCTGGATGTTTGAATAACATTTTCAGCTTCTACGCTGGAAAATGTTACTGCTGACAGATGATAATTTGTTTTGAACTGTTCAAAAATTAATCGGAATTTTTAACTAGCCATCTTTTGCTGCAGCCATTTGTCTGTGAGGTTCTTGCCGATCAGGATTTTCCTGTTATCAATCTCACTAACTGCCATTCATTTAAGGCAAACTTACCAACAGGATCAAACAATAAATAATATGTATTTCCTGTTTCTCTTAAACACTTCCCGATTATAAATAAACAGTAATTAGTTAATTGCACTACTACAACTCAATTATTTTTTAAGGAAACAATGTGTCGGAGAACTTGGTTATCTATGATAATCAGTTTTGTCAACCACTGATAAAACAATAGAGTCCTTAATGAATGAAATTGAATTCACTAGAAGGCATAAGTTGCCTTAAAGTCGCTAATACAAACTGTTAGTGAGTGCCAAGTAACACGAAACCTAAATTCAAGAGTTTCTGTCAACTTTTTCTAAAGGGAGTTTACTTAAGACTAAGCTTTCAACGAATATGAGTACATTGTTAATCAGCCTATGTCAGTGTATGCATACTTTATACGTAGAATCCTCCTTAAATTTTAACTATGATATTTCCGACTGTAGGTACACTGATGAAACGTTTCATTTAATTTAATATTCGTCACTTGGTTTCTGATGATACTCAATCGATTAAAATCATTCTAATCTCAGAAATCAGGCGCTTGAGGAAATATATGTAATGATTATCAGTACAACTTTTAAGATTACCATAAATTTCTAGATGTAAAATGTATAACCACGTTACTTTACTATGTTCATTTTAGTTGAATTCATGAGTCAATTAAAGCTAGACTACCATGGAAAACCTGGAAGTACTGGACGACCGTTTCGTCCTAGTATGCAACTCCTCAGCAACGCGTATCCACGATCACACTACGCGAGATTCAAATCCACGACCTACCGATCTCGCGCTCGAACACTTAGCCCTTAGACCACTGAAAAGTCCCATACTTGGACGGAACAGTCGTCTGATGCTTCCAGGTTTTCCATGGGGGTCTAGCTTTAATTGACTCATGAATTCAATTATTCAATTACTAAAATCTTCACAAAACCTCCCGATATTTTCTTTCCATCAAAATTAAGGAGATTGGTTGGTTCGATCGACCTGAAAATCGAGCTGGTGCACTTACTGCATTTCTGTCGACAGATGCTTCAAAAGTTGCTCAAATTAGTGGTTCCAGATTGAGTACAGCATTTGAAGCTGTAGTTTTAGTCATTGCTTCCCTGGTGATTGGATTTATTTATAGTTGGCAGTTAACTTTAGTTATGGTTCCATTCATACCATTATTACTGTTATCTTCCCGCGTAAATGTAAGTGTTTTGTTTGTAATTTTTTTGACTATATACGTATTTAAGCACTAATTTTCAGGTCAAGTTAAGTATTACATAACTTGTGTGACGAATAATCAATTTGAAATCTATTCAAATGCAAACTTCTTGAAACTTGAAGGTCAATTCATATGAGACAGTATTAGTAATCGTGAAGCTTAGTTGCAATATTTTTGGCAAGACTATAATTTATGGATGAGACAATCAGAAGAGTTTGAGGGATTTCGAGATCACGGCGCCAACTTCAGTACTTAATGCTAACGTAAGATCGGTTCACAGGGAATTTTTGTACAAAAAGTGATAATTGAAAGGCTATAACAAATAAAACGGAGAGACTATAATTTGTGAACGAACCAGCCAGATATAAGATAACAGTTCTTGGATCTTGGTGCGAAAGTCTTTCATCCATTTGGCTAAATAAAGCTTTGGCATTATAGCTGATGTCAGTTCGTGATGAAAACCCTGTATATGATTCCGAACTAAGGCAAGTTATGACAATTATTGCGAACTGGATAATAATACCTGGCTCAACCAGATACTACAATATTTAGGGATGATTGGCAAGCGTACAGACTCCTGCATAGGCTTGGTTATGTGCATCGTATCGTTATCCACAAGTGGCATTTTATGTACTCAACAACCGGAGTGCACACAAACAATAATGAAGCTATGTGGTCGAGGCAGAAAGAATTTTTTCGACCTTATCATGGCTCCAGAGGCCGGCTATTCTGTAGCTATATGAATGATTTCCTCTACTGCATGCATTACGATTTTAGAACCTCTGAACCTCTTTTTAACCTTGACAAGTTTTTGAACCATGTAAAAGAAGTGTATCTACTTTATTTGTTTAGTTTTGTATAATATATTTTTGCTCCATATTGACTGCTTGCTGATTGACTAATATTTCTCAGGGTCACTGAAGATTCTTTCAAAGGTCGTCTATAAATCATAGTCTCCCCGAACTGTTCATCTCACATTTAAATATCAATTTCTTGTATAGCTAACCTACTATGGACTCTAAATACAGCACTGATAGTATTCAATAAATAGTAGTTGGGCATAAAATTAAAGTGGAGTATACTTTGTGTCACATCATGCGAATCTGTCTGCATTTCAAAATGTGTTCTCATTCTTACTAAAACTCGAACACAGAATTCAGTTCATCAGCAACTAGATTTCTCCATTAAGTTACTTCTGTGGACCATTTAATTCAGTGATTACCAGTTGTTATCAGAGTATAGCTTTAGAAATGAGGCGTATCAAAGTGATCAGTTCTTATAGTACAAAACACTTATGTTGTTTGGTTAAGTGATTTGTAAATATCGATTAGATTCATAATAACTCTTTATCTTCTCTTGAAGCAAAAGTCAACATTTTTGACGTCTTTATTTGCATATTCACTACATTATTCGCTCCCATAAGATTAGAATAATTCATTTTATCTATTCCAAGGGGATAGTCGAATCATGTATGTATCCTCGTTTTTTAGAAATATCTATTACTCTTGAGGATTTTAATCATTCAGTTTCTGATTAAACTGGCCGGTAACTAGTTTTTTATCACTAAACAATATCTCTGACTGATACTATGTAGTTTGACAACATCAATCCCATGAGGTACAGAATATTATTCTGATTCCTTGATGATACAAGTTAAATTTGGTACAAACCTCACTCTATGACTTTTATTCGAACATAAACTAGGTAATTGTATAATATTTTGTGAGTATATTTATATTTTCATAGTTTTACATTCGTAATAAAACTGGTGTCGTTTGATTTATTGGTATTCAGTTAACACACAAAGTATAAGGTACACAAATCATATAGAGCATTCTAAGATCTTAAGAATATAGATATGCATATATTGATCATTTTGCATTTCTCAATGTAGTGTTTGTCTAGATAGAGATGCGCCTTGGTAACAAGTACCAACTAAAACGAAGCCGAATCTACAGAATTCCCTGACGACTACCTCTAACTACCTAACCTAGTATATATAAATGCCTTATGAAAAGGCATTTGACAGTGTAGACAGGAGGACATTATGGAAACTCCTTCGACACTACGGAGTTCCTGAGAAGATTGTCAATATTATCCGGAACTCATACGACGGACTACAGTGCAAGGTCGTGCGTGGAGGACAGCTGACAGATGAATTCCAAGTAAGGACCGGATTCAGACAAGACTATTTACTCTCTCCCTTCCTCTTTCTTCTGGTGGTCGACTGGATTATGAAGACCTTGAAATTTGAGAGAAAACACGGAATACAGCGGACAGCTCAGAACCAATTAGACGATTTAGAGTTCGCAGATGATCTAGCCCTCCTATCACGTACACACGAACAGATGCAGATAAAGACGGTCCATGTAGCAGCAGTCTCTGCATCAGAAGGCCTCAACATACACAAGGGGAAACCAAGGTCCTCAAATACAACTCGGAAAACAACAATCCAATCACTCTTGATGGCGAAACTCTGGAAGATGTAGAATCCTTCATCGATGAACAAGGAGGTTCAGATGCAGATGTAAAGGTGATGGTTGGTAAAGAAAGGACATCATTCCTTCAATTGAAGAACATATGGAACTCAAAACAACTGACAACCAAGATCAAAGTGAGAATCGTCAATACAAACGTCATTGCAGTTCTACTGTATGGAGCTGAAACTTGGAGAACTACAACAACCACCATCAAGAAGGTACAAGTATTTATAAATGGTTGTCTACGGAAGAAACTCAACATCCATTAGCTGGATGGGAGAGAACAAACCAGCTTCCAGCTGATGAGGAAATTAGGAAAAAACGATGGAAATGGATAGGACATACATTACGCAAATCGTCAAACTGCATCACGAGGCAAGCCCTAACTTGGAATCCTGAAGGGAAGCGGAAAAGAGGAAGGCCTAAGAACACATTACTTCAGGAAATAAAAGCAAATAAAAAAGGGACGAATAATAACTGGAAAGAGCTGGAAAGGATTGCTTAGGACACGGTTGGATAGCGATTGCTGGTGAGCGACCTATGCTCCTTCATGAGGAGTAACAGGCGTAAGTTAGTAAGTATATATATATATATATATATATATATATATATATAGTTTTCAAAGTAAATTTATGTTTATTAAATACGTATATTTATTGTTTAGATGAAAAATGCATCAAAAATGGAAGATAAAATGGTTACTAAGGGGTTATCTATTGCTAAAGAATCAATTAGTGCTCATCGTACTATGAAAAGTTTATCATTGGAAGAATATTTTTATCAACGTTTTAAATTGACTTGTATTGAAAGTGCCAGGTAAAAAAATAGTTTAATCTTGATTTTGAATAGTAACTAAGTGAAATAAGATTCTGATGTTTTTCTTTCTTTTTTTTTAAAAAAAAACAATCGATTTCAGTAAAGTAAATGATTTAGGTAGTTGTCACTTCTCTATTTATAAATGTTCTAGTCATCAAAACAATTTAATTGTTTTGTGATTATATGACGAGATTATACGTTATGGACGAACCAATCAGGTATAAGATAACAGATTTCGGATTTTGGCGCGAAATTTACCCATCTATTTGATGAAGTAGAGTTTTGGCATTATAGCTGATATCAGTTCATGATGAAAAACCTTAAATCTAATCATCTAACCTTAATCATCATTTGTAAATCATAATTCGAATTCCTCACACACTGTTTTATAACCCTCATTTGGTTCCAGTTACTAAGTGGACACTCTCAAGGTCAGTTTAACGTTGTTCAAAGGTCGTCCTCAAATTATAATCTCACCGATGATATTGACCATGACAAAGTCAACATTCTAAAACATTTCTTAGAAGAATCAATATGTTTCAATTGCAACATAAAATTCAGATTTCTCTAGACAAATAAATGGTGTTCCAATGAGGTCTACATTATGTCCTCATCTAGTAGGCTGTTCTATTACTAAACGGAAGAATTATATCATTGCAGTAATAATGTATATATCGATAATATCGTTATTATCTCTGACGAAAACAGAGTGACTTTAATAAAATATCGCAAGAGTTGATAGGTTGCCATTATCCTATTAGCTTCATAATAGAACTGAAGTTGAATACAGGATTTTGTTTGATTAATGTTTTACTGAAACGTAGATTAAATGTATCTTCACAGCTATATTTATGCAATAAGTCAACTTAGAACAGATAGTATACGAATTTCCAGAATTGAATGGATGGTTCTTATGATCTGAAACAGCAATTTCATCTGTTCTCTATCTTTATGACCGAGAGGAATATACAAAAAAGACGAAATTGATCATTAGCTGAATAAAATTCAACGGACACTCTTGGAAAATGGTTTCCCGCTTAAATTGTTTGTTATTAAACTGAGATCAACAAGTTAGATTCAAATTACTCCCATGATTCTGCAGGAATTTTCATTCATGAACATTGAATTCAAGGGAAATACGGATGGGGAGATACTAAGGGATAGATTATTTAGATTTATGAAAACGCGGTTGGACCCAGTAAAACTTCGAATTGTTTTCTTCAGTAGGAAAATTACTCGAGAAAGTGTCAAGAATAAACTACTTCTTTGGATCACTTTGATGTACACCTATCGGTTTAGTTGCTTTTACTAAGCAGGTTATATTTAACGTACAAAGCAGGCACTTGCTAAACGAATATCTTATCATTACAATAAAATGCGATCTAAAAAAGAATAGAAATCGATCAAAAACCCAATCCATAAGTACATGGTCAACTGTGGTCACTTGCTACCACGGAAATTATCGTTAAAGATCGTCTACAAATTTAAATGCACTGGCTAGAAGAAAGTTTAGACGACGAGTTTGTGCACATCTGAATTGATTTTCATTTGATTGAAGATGATTATTACTTTTTATATCTTCAGTAGTATATCTTTTTAATGTTTTATTTTAAAAACCAAAAGTCCCATGAGCTTATTTTACTATTATCCATTTATATTAGTTTCTCAGTTATGATCATGTATTATTGAAATCATTTATGTTGAGCTGTGGTGTTGTTATGAAGAAACGTCCTGAATATATGTATATTAGTAGACAATAGTAATTCATTTTAAGGAATTATAAGTTTTTGTGTGAAATTTACTAGTTTTGATTGAAAAGTTCAGATTTCGCGGTGTGGGATTGTGAATGCACACTGTTAAAGAGTCTCACAATAGTACGAAACGGCCGTCTAGTGCTTCTAGAATTTTCCATGGCGGTCTAGCTTCAATTAACTCATGATCTCAACTATGAAAAGTATTTGTTAAAATGCAGTTAGATGACATTGTGTGAATTGTTTCCAGCTTGTTTGTTAAACAGCTGATCATTTGTCACTGAACTATTTTATAACGCAAACAAAGACAACTACATTTCATAAACTGTCTATAACACGATATCTCAATTAACCAACATAACAGCTAGGATGCAACTGGACGATCTAGACTTTGCAGACGATCTGGCTATTCTATCGCGAACGCTACAACAGATGCAGGAGAAGACGATCAGTGTAGCAGCAACCTCAGTAGCAGTGGGTATCAACATACAAAAAGGGATAAGCGAGATTCTCCGATACAACACAGCACCAATCACACTTAACGGAGAAGATTTGGAAGATTTGAAAACATTTACACATCTGGGCAACACCATTGATGAACACGGTGGATCTGATGCAGATGTGAAGACGCGGATCGGAAAAGCAAGAGCAGTATACCTACAACTGGAGAAAATCTGCAACTCAAAACAACTGTCTTCAAGCCAACACCAAGGTCAGAATTTCCAATACAAATGTCAAGATAGTTCTATTGTATGGGGTGGAAACTTGGAGAACTACGAAATCCATCATCCAGAAGATACAAATGTTCATTAACATTTGTCTACACAAAATACTTCGAATCCGTTGGCCAGACACTATCAACAACAACCTACTGTGGGAGAGAACAAACCAGATGCCAGAGGAGGAAGAAATGAGGAATAATCGCTGGAAGTGGATAGGACACACATTGAGGAAAGCACCCAACTGTGTCACAAGGCAAGTCCTCACATGGTATCCTCAAGGTCAAAGGAGGAGATGAAGACCAAAGAACACATTACGTTGAGAAATGGAGATAGACATGAAAAGAATGAGCAACAATTGGATATAACCAGAAAGGAGTTTTCAAGATAGAGTGTGTTGAAGAATTCTAGTCGGCCGCTCATACTCCATTGAGAGTAGCATGCATAAGTAAGTAAGTAAGTAAATAAGTAATATACAAGTTCATTTTATGTCGATCAAATGATTTCATTTTGATCTTTTCTATTTAAATTTTACAGTACACATTTACTAGAAGCTGTTAAAATTGGTTTGGTTCAATCGATTGCTTTATCTGGTCCCGTTCTTAGTTTAACTGCATGTTTTGCATTAGGAAATTATTTAATACAACAGAATGCTATTTCAATGATATCATTGTTCAAGTTAGTTTGGACTTTTTTTTCAATATGAGTGTATATGTGCTGTCTTTAAAACATGTTACATAATATAATGTATGTGTATCATTAGTTCAATTCATTTATAATTCTAAATAGATTGTAGTCATTGTTGGATTATGGCTGGTAGTGGAACCTAGGATAGGTGCTTCTTCTTATCTGTTATTAATCAACTGCACCTTGGTCTTGATGTTCACACTGAGATTCCAATTCAGCACTTATGCTCTGAACATTAACTCGTTTTTCATTAAATTACTGAGTTCAGATACCTACATCTTGTTCAAACTGTATGAAAGTATTACTAAGGAATAGATCCAGCTGATAAGTCCTAGACGGGATAAAACTCGCTTCGATGTTAATCACAATGCAACTTTATTAAGACTTGTGACTAAATGGCAATATCAAGACAATCCACTTAGGACAGACATATTTCAATACAAACTGATCACTTCTAGTCATTAAAATCAATAGCAAGGAGGTCAACTTTGGAGCTGAAACTGTTTTTAATCTTTTTTATTTCAACAGCAAATCAATTTATATCTTTTCAGTCCAAAATTCCATATCCTCAGTTCTAACAATCTAATGGTAATCTCATTACCCAGAAAGATAAATACCAAAGATAGTAAATCGTTTTGTGATAAAGACTGCAAATAGTACTTGATGTTGACTAAAAATATGTATGAAATTTCAATTGAATAGTTTAGATTGGGATCATGGACCGATAAATGTTAGATCAGCATTGGAAACCTGGAAACAGTGGACGGTGAACTCGACCTATTGTAGGACTCCTCTGTAGTGCGCATCCACGATCCCACTTGCGGGGTTCTAACCTAGAGCCTCCAGTCTCGCACGCGAAAGCTTAACCTCTAGACCACAGAGCCAGTCGGCATCCAGCGGTGTTAATGTCTAACCTCAACTAATCCACGAAATTGCGCATCCATCTTCCATTGTACTGAGGTAAATACCTGTCCCTACCCGAAACAAACTATCTCCACTGGTCATGGCTTCTCACTAGAACTTCGAGAATTCCCTCACGAAGCTAGTCACTAGTGAGCACGTGGTTAACTGATTAAAACACTTTTATTGGTTAGATGGTGGTTGGAGGTAGTCAACAGGAAACCCTGGACCCGGGTTTCGCGCTACTTGGCACTCGTCAGCATAGTGTACCTGTAATCCCGAGGGGACTGGTGCTCCCCGACGGATTCGATCCCGTGTCACCCAGCTTCACAGTCAGAGACGTTACCACTGAGCTATCCGGGCCGCAACCGACCTCTTGTAGGAGCAGCAGTTCCCTCAATATTACAGGTACACCTTACTGACGAGTGCCAAGTAGCACGAAACCCGGGTCCAGGGTTTCCTGTCGACCACCTCAAACCACCATTTAATCTCAACATAGTGCACGCAGCGTCGAGTCACCTAGACTGTTGGCAACATTGCAACTTGTTCGATCTGCACTAAGAAGGACTTGACACACATGACATTGATCACCACTCAATGATAAATCAATTGTAATTACATTTTTATTGATTTACGTCACAACAGTCTATCTCCCTATTCGTATTTTTAGGTTACCATTATCAAAAATGTCTAAATATTTCAATAAAATTTCCTGTTTAACTCTTGTTATAATCAATCAATCATGCATATTTAATCACGTGTCTTTGTAAAGCTTTGTAATATGTCTTGAAGTTAATTACCGTAAAATCTGAACGTAATCATTAAAGTGATTAAATTTACCGTTCAATTTCATTTTTACTTCAAGAAATCCAAAACAATTATACTGAAATTTATGCAAATATTCATCACTTCAAGTTGTTATCATTCATATCAACACAAACATAAACACACACAGAGAATGAGGAAATTCAACCCGAGCGAGAGAAAGAGAGACAAAAGGCTGGAAACAATAATACCGATGTCGGTGCCAAACTAGAATGATCATGATCATTCTGATAACCGAACGAAATCGACAATCCTTCTGTATATAGATTCGCATTATTTTTCATTAGTTAAAGGTTGGAGTATGAATGAACCATCCCTGAGATGTGATCGATTTACAGTCATATCACATAAGTTCTCTTACTTACAGGTTAAGATCACCTCTCGGATCCAAACCATGAAGTCTATATTAGTGGCAGGACCAATACAAATAATTAATGAATCTTTATTTGAATCCGTGCCTTAGTATAGATTAATACCCTCAATAGATCCTACTTACAATTGAACACTATGTCTTTATCCAGTAGTAATTGAAGGTAAATAAAAAAATTGTTCATGAAATATTACTAGTCCTGAACAATATTTCCTTCATACATTCACAGTCAGATGTATGTAACGTATCATCCTTTTCCAGTTGCCTGAATTGAGAAAAAACATTTCTTCTAATGGTACCTGAAAAGGAAATTAGGTTCTTATTACTCTTGTTGGGCTGCAAATGTGATCAAAAAGCCCAAGAGACAATTACTTTAAGACGACCTTTTTGTGAACAGTTTTTGTTATTATCAGAAGGGGCTCTGTGGAGATTGTAGTAATTTCAACTGTTGAGATCATGAGTCAATTTAAGCTAGACCACCACGGAAAACCTGGAAGCACTGAACGGCCAAATCCTCCTATTATGAGACTCCTCAGCAGTGTGCATCCACGACCTCGCCTTGTGGGATTCGGACCCAGGACCTATCAGTCTCGAGCCAGGACGAAACGGCCATCCAGTGCTTCCAGGTTTTCCATGGCGGTCTAACTTCAAATGACTCATGATCTCAACTGTTGAAGTTTTTTGTTATGTTAACTACTTTCCAAGCCTTACTTCCGGCACCGGAAATACATGAAGTAAAATTAGGTGTCGTACTTTTAGATTTCACACTTCAATTCTTCCTTCCGTTGTGAGGAGGCTGCATGGCTGATGTAAAACTAAATGAGCAAAATCATGCATTAATTATTTACTTGTGTCATGCCGTTAGAGTTTAGACTTCTCTAATAGAGTCCACTCAGTAATTATAATATGTGGTTTAAGATGATCAGTAACATCGAACATAATCTGTAAGAGTGATGCAGTTGTATTGATTCACTATCCTTTTTTAAGTCTTCAGCTACTCGTCACTTCTTAATTCTAACGTCTAAAAATCCTGAAATTCAATAATTTCCACAATCCCATACTGACAATTCCTGTTTTGTATAAAATATCTTGTACGAATAATTTAAACTTACTGATCAAAACTCATCACTCTTAGGGATATAATTTTTCTTAATCTGTATTTATGACATCTTCTAAACACCAATAATGTTACCAAAGGACAGGTTTACTGCGCAGCAGTTCGTTTCGTCCTACTTCATGGCAGTGAAACATCGACGGTAAGAGTAGAGGATATTTGTAGGTTACATGTATTCGATCATAAGTGTCTTCGAATCATTGCTCGTATATCCTGGGACCACCGAGTATGTAATGCATTTGTTAGGAAACAGGTACTATGTAAGGATGGCAAACTAATTGATGAAGTAGTGAAACTTCATCAGTTGAGATCACTCGAACATGTGTTACGTATACCCAACCACCTACTGCCCAGACGAGCGATGTTTTATGGTGTAGGAGTAGGTTGGAGGAAAGCTGGGGGTGGCCAGACCGAAACATGGCACAAATCCATGAAGTCATTGACAAGTGGACTGAGCCATGTTGGTAGGTGTAGACCACCTGATTGGGGATCGCGAGATGATAGCAACCGATAGTTAGAGACCCTGAATGACATGGCTCGAAATCGTTTGCTATGACCCATGTGCATCCACTCTTTGTGTTCTCCCAAATTCTAATCTTATGAACTCTTCATGTCCCTTTCTTTTTTCGTCTTTCCAAATTTATTTCACTGGATTATGCTCCTTGAATAACATCTCGAAACCCTAGTGTCTCCAACTACTGCCACCATCTTATACTTTTACTACCTCTACCAATATGGGATTTGAATCGACAATTGTATTTCTGCACTAATGTGGTATGACAACCTGAACTGATGTACGTACGTAGGTACGAAGTTCTACGTTGTTATTGACTAAGTAGTATGTAGTATTTAAAACTCGATTGAAGTGGTTATATTCGCAATATAAAGTTAGTGTATATATCAGTGAATGAACATTTTGTTGTTTGCATATTGCTCCATAATATGTGCTATCCTCTGTAGTCAGATTCAGTTACAATATTTACCTCGTACGGTATATCGAAACACACTAAGCTAATGAGGAAATTATGTGAGTTAGAAGTTTTAATGATCAAGGTGAATTATGATGTACATAAATCATGAGTATTGATGCGTTTGCCCTCTATGACCAAGATAACGATATATGGGCTGAGAACTTAACTTGGGAATTACCTACTTCCTGTAATAGCATATCACCAATGTAACTTCTTGCTCACTGTTTGACTCTGAGGCGACAGGTAAACTACCTGATTTTCGTGACATGTGATATGTCTAGTCAGGTTCAAGCTGCCAGTATCATAACTGATGTTACCAATGGATATTTATATTCTGACTATTTGACTACTAGTTTTTCGCCATTCAAATTAGAATTATGATGACTTGGTTGAATAGCTAATTAGATCAATGGCATGGAATCGATGTTTAGAGTTTAAGTAAGATTTTTTTAAGTAATCAATTCTCTTAGATTACTCAATAAAACTCCAAGTACCGTAGCCCAGGAATCGCTGGTTGATACCTTATCAGGTTTATTTTCAATTTTGGTATATTTTTTTTAATCTTCATCAAAATCTTGGGCTTTGAAGTGACTTTATACCTTTTATTCATCGGATTCGTTATACCTTCCTGGATCATATTCTTTATATCTAATATGTTTTACTTTCATCGAAATAACTACTATTACTTCTATTGATTCATCATGATAATTTCATCGTGTATTACTGATCTGGCTTCTTGTCTTGAATCCATATACATTTTATTTAGACTCTTATGTCAATTTTGGCCGACTGTTGTCATTAAAGGAGACGTATTCCTATAATAATAATAATAGTAATAATAATAATAATGGATTTTGATAGTTGACATCACTGATTGAAAACTGGACAGCTGTTTTATCTTAACAGGGAAATCTTTAGGAGGGAACATCCACGAACCGACAGGGGGATCTATCTCCGGATCATCAGTTTCGAAACCTTATCACCAGTATCTGCAAACCATGGGGCAAGGCGATGTGTAATATCAGTTCTAGTGAAAAATCATGATCATTAAAGTTCTGTCGTCTTAAACGTGAGACAGTTATTCACCACAAACAATTGAAGATGGTCGTGCAATATCGCAAATTATTTGAGGTTAGATATGCAAAGAACTGGATGCTAACTCACTAGTCTAAAGGTCAAGCACTTACTTTGAAACCAAATGTCCTGAGTTTGATCGCTAACGGATTGATGAGTACGGACTTTTAGGGAGTACCATATTAGAACGAAATACCTGTAAGAGAACTTATGCGATATGACTGTAAATCGGTCACATCTCAGGGATAGTTCATTCATACTCCAACCTTTAACTAATGAAAAATAATGCGAATCTATATACAGAAGGATTGTCGATTTCGTTCGGTTATCAGAATGATCATGATCATTCTAGTTTGGCACCGACATCGGTATTATTGTTTCCAGCCTTTTGTCTCTCTTTCTCTCGCTCGGGTTGAATTTCCTCATTCTCTGTGTGTGTTTATGTTTGTGTTGATATGAATGATAACAACTTGAAGTGATGAATATTTGCATAAATTTCAGTATAATTGTTTTGGATTTCTTGAAGTAAAAATGAAATTGAACGGTAAATTTAATCACTTTAATGATTACGTTCAGCACAAACTTCAGGCAGAAGTGAAGTGTTCGACATCATTCAGAAGAACGATGAAAGCTCCATAACCGAACCATCCAGCTCAGAGAATAAAACTCCATCAAATTCATCCACCTGAACTACAAATCTTCTCCACCACTTTTATTGTTGTCTATCAGCTCAGATCCTAAAATTTATATCCCAAATCCTAGTCCAAACGTCATAAATTATTTATCACCAATTCTTAACATCACCTGGTTGAGATCATTCAGTGGCATAGATCAAGTTTACTAAATTATTTTATAATAATGGATATACCCTTTCTTTGATTATTTATTTTTAGAGTTTTTATCACATTTAGTATGTGTTCACAAGCTCTTGGTCGAATCACTGCATTTACTACAAAAACAAAAGAAGCTGAAGAAGCTATGAGACGTATATTCACTGTTATCGACCGTAAACCAACCATAGATACTAATCAAGGTGATCAACCAAAAGAAACATTTAGTGGTCATATTGAATTTAAACATGTAAATTTTAGATATCCAACAAGACCTGAAACAAAAGTGCTTAAAGTAAGTGATTCAAAAAAGTATTTAGTTCAACTGTTAATTCATTTCCCGACGTAATGTGTTCTTTGGCCTTCCTCTTTTCTGCTTCCCATCAGAATTCCAAGTTAGGGCTTGTCTCGTGATGCAGTATGGTGATTTCCTCATTGTGTGTCCTATCCACTCACAACGTCTTTTCCTTATTTCCTCATCAGTTGGAAACTGGTTTGTTCTGTCTCATAGTAGGTTTTTGCTGATGATATCCGGTCAATAGACACTGAGTAACTTGTGTAGACAATTGTTTATAAATACTTGCTTTGCTAATCCTCGCCTTACGTCTGCATCTGATCTTTCTTGTTCATCGATGATGCTTCCGTTGATGCATTTATGTTTATGTAAAACAACACATAATGGAGTAACTTTTTGTGTTATTGATTACTATCTGAAGTCATTGTCTAATAGTTCCCTATATAAAATTATGTGATATCTATTTCTTTGTCATTGGGAAATGGTAATTTGAAATCACATACTCTCACTTATGTGGGTTATTCAAATGATTAAAGTGATAATATTTGTAATTTCTACGTTCTCTAAGCTTAGATACTCTATTTGAGAAGTATTCATAGCCTTTTAAGGCATTATTGGCAAAAATCAATTTGTTAAGTAGTTAGAGATAATTGGTAGTATTTATTAGCACAGAGTATCTCTACAATCTAGAGGAGACTGATGCTCTCTATTGGACTCGAACCTGCGCCACACAGCTTGATAGTCTTAGATACTAGCATTAAGTTATTTGAGCCTCAAGTGACCTACTGTAGGATGGAGATATTTATATTAATCGGTCACTGAGTAGCGACTGATGTTACGTCATGATGAAATTAGATGGATAAATATGCCATCAGTCACTACTAAATGATGAACTAATTATTAAAAATGATGATTTTGTCTACAAAGACAACAACAGCTTCACAGTTAAGCCATTCTCTAGGTTCTTCAACATCACTTTTATAATTATCGTCTTGAAATTCACCTCTCCCAACTATGATTTCCCAAAAGTAACCGTTCATTTGATGTTCTTCTTACAACTATATCTTCACTTATTTGAGACAATAAAGATCGGTGTTTTGAATAAATAGTCATCAAAATATCTCAAACCTGATCTCGAAAACAATAGATATTACTAGTTGTAATGTTATATTAAACGGTATAGTAATTTGTCAATTATGACAGTTATGTGTACGAGACGTGATCGAACACCGTAAGGAAAACTAGCAGGAATACGATAAATAACTTTAAATGACTTATTTCTGTTCACTACATGACCACTTTCAATCAATTTTGGTAGAACCGAGCTGCGTATTGTCATGATAATACCTTTTCCTAACCATGAAGGAAGGTGTTCACTAACTCTTTGGTTCAGTTGTCTCTTTAGTGCTCTAGTCAGTCTATCACGTAGTATATCACCAGCTACATCTCCATTGAATTGCAGCTTCAGGAAGAGAGGTTTCTTACTAGCTGTTGATGTCGCCACTTTGCTTGTTTCTTATACGCATGTGTTTCGTCAGGAAACCTTGTGGATAATCCATTTGAATCAACATATTATGTATGAACTGTAATTCTTTGTGCATTGTATCGACTGAGCATATCTTAATAGCTCTATTTCCCAGATATTTGACTAAGTTTCTCTTATAATGTAGGAGTACAAAGCTTAAGAAATGTGTTAACTGTCTTGATGAAAACTTTTTCTATACACACTTCTACTGATTGAACCATTTTGTTTTCTGTTTACCAATTTTTCAAAGAAAAGTAGTTTATTATCTAGTTCCTCTTTACATGTAAATTTCTGGGTGTTTTTTGTTAAACAATTCTAAGAGTTCTTCTTTTCTGATGTTCTGATCGGCAATAATGAAAGTGTCATCAACGTGACGACAGTAGAAGTCAAGCTTATTGATAACCTCTTTGAGAGTTCCGTTTTCTAGTTTTGCAAGGATAAGATCTAGAGGTGAACCCATCGCTATACTATCAATTTGCCAATAATATGTGTTATTGAAGACAAAATAAACATTCGTTGTACATTTTAAAAGTAATTCTTTGATACTAACCTCGGGAATTTCAATATTGATTTGTTTTTCAAGTAGTTGTTGGCACACCAAGTCAATAGGTTCAGTTAAAGGTACATTGGTGAACTGGGAAGCAACATCTTGAGATATCATCCGTTTCCCTTTTAAGTTCAAATGTCCCACTTTGGAAATGAAATCGAAGACGTCTTTCAGTCAGTCGGTCAGTCAGTAACAACGTAGAACTTCGTACCTACGTACGTACATCAGTTCAGGTTGTCATACCACATTAGTACAGAAATACAATTGTCGATTCAAATCCCATATTGGTAGAGGTAGTAAAAGTATAAGATGGTGGCAGTAGTTGGAGACACTAGGGTTTCGAGATATTATTCAAGGAGTATAATCCAGTGAAATAAATTTGGAAAGATGAAAGAAGAAAGGGACATGAAGAGTTCATAAGATTAGAATTTGGGAGAACACAAAGAGTGGATGGACCTGAACCATTGCAAACGATTTTGAGTCATGTCATTCAGGGTCCCTAACTATCGGTTGCTATCGTCTCGCGATCCCCAACCAGGTAGTCTACACCTACCAACATGGTTCAGTCCACTTGTCAATGACTTCATGGATTCGTGCCATGTTTCAGTCTGACCACCCCTAGCTTTCCTCCAACCTACTCCTACACCATAAAACATCGCTCGTCTGGGCAGTAGGTGGTTGGGTATACGTAACACATGTTCGAGTGATCTCAACTGATGAAGTTTCACTACTTCATCAATTAGTTTGCCATCCTTACATAGTACCTGTTTCCTAACAAATGCATTACATACTCGGTGGTCCCAGGATATACAAGCAATGTTTCGAAGATACCTTTGATCGAATACTAATAACCTATGAATATCCTCTACTCTTACCGTCCATGTTCCACTGCCATGAAGTAGGACGGAACAATCTGCTGCGCAGTAAACACGTCTTTTTTTTGATAGACGGATATTTCACCTACTCCATTAATGACTCAAGTTGGCAAAAGCTAATCGAGCCTTCTGTATCCATGCTGAGATTTCGTCACACGTCTTTCACTCTTCTTTTGACTACTAGTTTGTGTAAGGGATCTAGGATTCGAACCAGCCACTTTGCATTTTTGTGATAAAACGAATTCTACATAACTAAAACTGGACAAAAACCTGTCTTGTAAACTTTGAGTAAACCATGTAATCACGGTGTGTTCGATCCAGTGGATTTAAGTGAGTCGTGTATGTTTGGAGTAAGTATTCCTCTTCTTCTTTTTTCTAATTCCAGATTTCTTTACATTTATCATTATTATTCTATAAACTAAACATTTCATTTCTATTTTATAAATCCATTATAGAATTTTACATATTCCATTCAACCGGGAAGTAAAATTGCATTAGTTGGTCAATCTGGTTGTGGTAAATCAACACTTATACAATTATTACAACGGTTCTATGATCCAACAGATTATGGTTTAGAGAATGGTATATTTTTTGATGGAATTAATCTACGTCAATTAGCTCCATGTTGGATAAGACGACAAATTGGTATTGTATCACAAGAGCCAATATTATTTAATATTAGTTTACGTGATAATATTGCATATGGTGATAATAGTCGTATTGTATCAATGGATGAAATTATAGAAGCGGCAAAATTAGCTAATATACATGATTTTATATTATCATTACCTAATGTAAGTTTTGTTACAAGTTTAAATATATATTGAATAGTGATTACGAACTTACGCCTGTTACTCCTCGTGAAGGAGCATAGGCCAACCACTAGCACTCTCCATCCAACCCTATTCTGGGCAATCCTTTTCATATCTGCTTCTATTATCCGACGTAATGTTTTCTTTGACCTTCCAGTTTTCCACTTCCTTTCAGGATCCCAAGTTAGGGCTTGTTTCGATAGAAGTATTATAGTGCAGGAGAATATAGGTGATGACAACCGATTATATTCTGTACAAAACTACAGAGTTACTTTAGAAGATAGAAAAAAACACTCCGGAATTCATTTGATGTTGTTTACTTGAATTTAACCATTTGTGTTCACGACAGCAAGTGACCAGTCTTCTGTTGGTATATGCGCATACTGTGCGGACTGCTTCGATATTCCCTTAGGTCACAAGCATTATAAGCAAAGATGGATAGTGGAATCCACAATTGATTGATCACTGGGTGGTGATCAATCTCATGCTCGTCTAGTCCTTATTAGTGCAAATCGAATGCTATCGATCATGTTGCAATGTGGCCACCAGTCTAGGTGACTCGACACTGCGGGCACTATGTATTGAGATTAGATGGTGGTAACGTCTCTGACTGTGAAGCTGGGTGACACGAGATCGAATCCGCCAGGGAGCATCAGTTCCCTCAAGATTACAGGTACACGTTGCTGACGAGTGCCAAGTAGCACGAAACCCGGGTCCAGGGTTTCCTGTTGACTACCTCCAACCACCATCTAATCTCAATAATAGTGGAATCCAGCTTGACAAGCGTCTTGTCCTATTTGGGACCCGTGAGCTGGATATGCCTGCATCTCAGAGTTGATGTTCACTCTGTGACTCGAACCCAGCACCCTATTGCACAAGCAAGTGGTTATCAAGACTCAATAGCTAAGTGGATAACGCGATGCTGCTTGAAGCGAACGGTACAGGGTTCGAGTTTCAACGTCAGCATGATACTCCAAAATCATCATTAATTGTCTCAGATTTGACTGTTTCTCCTTTTCTATACTAATTGATTTCTGTTCCCATTCTTCCCTCTTCGATCTTCACAATCTTCTACTGCCAGACATTTTATTCCTGACTAGCATTATATACTTCTTATGTCGATATAAACAGTACACCACATACTACCTGTCCAATAAATATGCCAACTGAGGTTTCTTGGGCTTTTCGATCGCTTCATTCACCGTCTGGATGACTGTTGATAGACTTAAGTTAGTGAATACATATATGTACACGATTTTATCAAATATTTCGGAGTTTAGAAGATAGACTACGTGGTTGAGTTCTGAGCGATTGTCGTCACAAATGGTTGGAGACGTTCTATTTTAATCATCACTAATTAGCTGACGGGTCAAACGGTTTATGTGTTAATGTTACAATTATTTGATTCAACTGCATGAATTCTTCAAAAATGCTATCTGGAACAACTCAAAAGTACTTAGCTTGAAAAGCTCAGTCATTCACAAATATAAATATACCCTGGAAGAGGGTCATTTTAAATCAGTTTCTGCAAGAACCAGACACCATCTATGCTTGAATAAGGCCTGAATAACATTCAGTTTGTGTGGGGGCTGGGATACTGCTTGGGTGCTCAAACCGAAGCAGACGGTTTTCTTAGTTGGCCGCACCCGGAGCCTTCGACCTAAAAGTCTAATCCACAAGGTAGTAGAGCAATGTTAGGAGATGCAGTCTCATGGTAGCCGGTGACCAACAATAGGTTCATACGCCATTTTTCCATTCAGGATACTGCAGTCCATGCGCACCATTGGTTTGGAATGAGGGTTATCCAACTTTCCTAGGTGGACTCTTCGTTTCCAACAACCTGGTTAAAACATCGGACATTCGCTTTCCGTCCTCTCAACTTCGTAAACAACACTCGTGTGACGCGAAAGCAGTGAATAGGACTTTTCTGACAATGTAGCGTATGCGTATTCATGTGAGAGTATTTGGAGAGAGAGACCTAACTCTCCTCACTCTCAGCCGTATTGGGGTATTTGGAGGCTTATAATTACTGTTTCTATCAAGTTCGATCACTGTTATTTTTTTTATTGAAATCATGAGTCAATCGAAGCTAGGCCACCATCGAAAACCTGCAAGCACTGGACGGCCGTTTTGTCCTATTATGGGACTTCTCAGCAGTACGTATCCACGATCCCGCACCTCACGAGATTCAAACCCAATCTCGCGCCAGGTGCTTAACCAACTAGACCACTGAGCCGACATCCAATAGTGTCAATGTCTAACCTCAACTGTTATTATTGTCAATCCTTTATCATTATTATTATTTATTATTACTATTTAATAGGCATATGAAACATTAGCTGGACAAGATGGTTCACAATTATCCGGTGGTCAAAAACAACGTATTGCTATAGCACGTGCATTAATTAGAAAACCATCATTATTATTATTTGATGAAGCAACATCAGCATTAGATAATGAAAATCAACGTTTAATACAAAAATCATTAAATGATGCCATGGTAACATGTACCTCTATTATTATTGCACATCGTTTAAATACAATTCAAAATGTTGATTTAATTATTGTATTATCAAATGGTCATATTAGTGAATATGGTCAGATGAATGAATTACTTTCTAAAAAAGGTGAATTTTTTAATTTATATCAATTAGATAATACAAAATAAAAATAAATAAACTTTTTTTTGACTTTTTTTCTGAAAAAAAAAGAAAAAAAAGAAAAAACAACAATAAAAATACAAAAAAGATCAATTAGAGTATTTTTCCATTTTTTTTCTTTCTTTTTTTTCTTCTCTCTAAAAAAACTAAAAAAAACGAATGGACAAGCAACCATTTGAAATAACCCTGTTTTTGATTCATGAGTGAAGTGAATCATTTAAGGAAATTTTTATTCTTCATAATTTCACATTCACAATCATAATTACCGGTTCATTTTAATTGACTTCATTCTTTTTCTTTTTTCTATTCTTGACATGATACTCATTTATGTTTGTTTTCCTTTTTCTACTCTTTCTTTCTGCTACGTATACAATAGTTATCATTCCATTCACAAATGTTTTGTGATTATTCATTCATGAATACATATCTATGAATAAGATGTGAAAAATAAAGTATTTTATTAATAAACATAGATTGTGGTTAGCAGTAGAATACAGGATGATCGTTTCGTTCTATTCAAGACTCGTCAGTTGGATGTATCTGCATCTCAGAGTTGATGTTCACTCTGAAATTTGAATTCAGTATTGTTCGTTTCAAACGTCATCGCGTTATTCATTTAGCTACTTGAGACCTGAGAGCAACTTGCTTGTACAATGGGATGAAGTTTTAATTCACTTGATATTGTTTACTTGAATTTAACCATTGATATTCACGACTAAAATTGATCAGACTCTTGTTGATATATGTGCATCCTGTGAGTATTGCATCGATAGTACATTAATTCACAGACATTATAAGCAAAGATAGATAGTGGCTAGAAGTGGAATCCACGACGCATGTTCATTCCTATTCGGAACTCGTCAGCTGGATGCATCTGCATCTGAGTGTTGATGTTCACTCTGGGATTCGAACCCAGTACCGTTCGCTTCAAACGTCATCACGTTATCCACTTAGTTACTGAATTCTGATATATTACTTTACTTATTTTTATCATTTGTTTAATTATCAATAAGGATTTGGATTATCGCGTTGCTGATGTATAAAAATGAATTTTGACCAATCTTCATTGGTCAAAGATATATATATATATATCTTGTATACACATTATTTAAAATGCATATATCGTGGATAATAGTGAGATCCCAGATGATCGTTTAGTTCTACTTAATGCTTCACAGATAAATGTACCTGAATTCCAGTGTTGATGCTTATATTGAAACTCGAACCTAATGTGTACTGCTACCTATGCTAATGCACTATACACTTATCTATTGAGCATAGTAATCAATATATTCAAATAATTACATACGCTTCCAAGCATCGTAAATAACAGTATTGGGCAAATGGATTTAAAAGCAACGAATCAGTAATTAAGCAACATGAATAGTGATAACGATATTTATCATTTTGACTGCAATGGAGCTAGTAAATTTTGATTCCGAAAATGACCTTGCTACTTAAATACAATTTAAGTAGGTAAACGATAAATACAAATTTACACAACCCGTTGTTCTTACATCAAATGTGTTTTATTAATTTCTCGTCATGGTAGATTTTGTCCTCGAATGTTTAGATATCGACTTTCTAGGCTGCCATTAGTCTCTCTCTTTATATATATATATATATGTTATATCTCGGTAAGAATGGTGATTGGTAATTCTTGTGATCCATTTATGGACCAATACTATGAGTATATTTTTATCGTATAATTGTTATGTAACTAAACTGTTCATATTGATGCCGTTCTTATTACAAGCTTTAATTTGACCCATATACTGTTACTAGATGATTTACCATTCTTGAGCTATGCCAAGTCTATCAATTACTATCTCCCACATTCACAGCCAATTTTGGCCAAATATTGTACAAATATTGTTTCCTATTTTATGGTACGTTGTGGTCGGTTTGATTGCTATATAAACCCAGTATGTTTGAAATAAATGATTCATATTGAGGAGGCTGATATTGGTGTTCTGGACTTAACTGGCTGGGCTAGACAGGGAGCGAGACCAAATCACGACTCTAGGCTGCTCGCACGTGTTTTATGCGTCACTGGTTCGATCGATAATTTCGCTGCTCTCTGATTGGCGGTATCGTTGCGTTATACAATAACAAAGCACACTGATTCACAAGTTATAACAATATATATATATGCGAAATGGTTCCTGGTATTCTTTAAAACATTCTTCGACACTGTAGAGTATGTGAGAAAATCGTCAACATCACCCACATAAGTGAGAGTATGTGATTTCAAATTACCATTTCCCAATGACAAAGAAATAGATATCACATAATTTTATATAGGGAACTATTAGACAATGACTTCAGATAGTAATCAATAACACAAAAAGTTACCCCATTATGTGTTGTTTTACATAAACATAAATGCATCAACGGAAGCATCATCGATGAACAAGAAGGATCAGATGCAGACGTAAGGCGAGGATTAGCAAAGCAAGTATTTATAAACAATTGTCTACACAAGTTACTCAGTGTCTATTGACCGGATATCATCAGCAAAAACCTACTATGAGACAGAACAAACCAGTTTCCAACTGATGAGGAAATAAGGAAAAGACGTTGTGAGTGGATAGGACACACAATAAGGAAATCACTATACTGCATCGTGAGGCAAGCGCCAACTTAGAATCTTAAATGAAGATGAAAAAGAGGAAGGACAAAAAATACACTGCTTTGGGAGTCTAAAACAGACATGAAAAGAATGAATAGCATCTGGAAAGGATAATCCAGGATACCGTTGGATGGAGAATTCTGATGGTTGGTGTATAGTCTCCCATGATAGACAAAAGGCGTAAATAATGATTATCATCGTTGAAGTAACGTTGTATCTATTAGTTATTGATTTATCAAATTCAATTTTATATTAAAAATACCTTCTGTTGTCCATATTGTTCAAATTGTTCCCATTGTGAAAACCGTTTGTTTATTCTTAAACTATTTAAACATTTCATTTCTCTTTTGAATTGAAATGATGATGAACCAATACGAAAGATTTCATAGTATGATATTTAACTTTGATGGAATGGACAGTTTCATATATATTTCTCGCTCTCTCGATCTCATTCGCTCGAGTCTACTATGAAACTACGTCACGTTATATCAGACCCAGGATTCAAGACCAAGAATGAAGAACCAGCGTATAGACCAAATAATACTTTATAAACAATCACATTCAGTGAGTCTGGAATAGAAATTAATGTGAGCAAAGGAAATCATACATTTAATAGTTAGTAGTCTAAGTGCCTGTTTGTCCAGACTCAATGAACGATCATATTTTATGTTCATTACCATGTATTAGACTAATCCTCAAATCTCAATGATTAAGAGCATGAGTCAATTTAAGCTAGACCACCATGGGAAACCTGGAAGCACTGGACGACCAACTCGTCCTATTGTGGGACTCCTCAGCAGTGCGTATACATGACCTCACCTCCTGAGAGATTCGAACCAAGGACCTACTGGTTTCGCGCGCGAGCGCTTAACCACGAGGCCACTGAGCCGGCCGGCATCCAACGGTGTTAATGTCTAACTTTAATTAATCCACGAAATTGAGCAACACATCCACCATTGTCATCAGTGAGTTACTATCTCACAACAGACCTGATTGAACTCCACTGATCACTACTTCTCACTAGAACTCCAGGATAAACCTCTTGAATCCAGTCACTAGTGAGCATTTGTTAATTAATGTTAGATGGGTTTTGTGATGGTCTAGCTTCAATTGACTGATGATCTTAACCATTGAAATTACTATAATATCTACAAAACCCATCTGATATTAATCCTCAAATCCTCTAGCATATGAATTGTCAGGATATTCTGTATTATTCAAATCTACTAGCTTTTTGTATAGAATGCTCTTCACAAATACGTTTATTGATACATAATGATGAACTGATCAGATAAATGTATAGAACATGGAATCTTATACAATGCCACTGATTTTTCATAACTCTTGAAAAACTGTAGAGATTAGTTCATCATCATTAAGTGTTTCTTGTTTTCTTCCATATGATTGATTGATTAACAAAAAGCAGGTACATTTATTGAACTACTCCTTCAATGCCTATAAATCCTATTAATCTGAGATAAATGACATGCAAGTTATAGTCTTTTTTACAAGATTAATTCTCATCCAGAGTTGATAATAAAATGAGGACCATTAGTAACCAAAAACCTTTGGATAACTGTTTTGTCGTAGTTTCGAACTTCTCAGAAGTGGATACCCATTCATGACCTTTAAGTTTCTAATTTGAAATTGACTTGTAAACATCTTCAACTCCAGTTAGCTTATCATATACTGCGACTAATATTAATGTTGTATATGTTTCTTTGAAGAAGTCGTTGAACTCAGTCGTTAACAGCTTCCCTCTAAAACTTTGGGAATCTTTCTCAAACCCAGTCATAGTGATTGTAATAGTATATTCTCCTGAATTCATCGGGGTTAGATATGTAAACAACAAAATGGCAACCAGTGGTACAAATGTTAAGCACTTACTGTAACCTAAAAATCCTGTTTTTGATCCCTGATGGAGTTGTAGATGCTCACTGTTGTAAAGTCTCAAATTAAAACGAAGTGGCTGTCTAGTGCTTCCTAGTTTTCAATGATTTTCTGACCAATATCATTGCATGATAAAAACTAAAACATCTATTCTAGAGTTGACTTTTATTTCCCTTCATGACCATTGATAATAAAGGATTACAATGTAGTGTCGGTTATTGTGTTAAGCCCATATACCTTATTCTAGCTTTCGGACAGTCCATTCTATTCATTCTACTTGAGTCACATTCTGACCTTGTTATTTATTCGCTTATCAATCTTGACTGTTTTTATATGAGCGCGTAGGTGTGTGCACACTTCCTATCCCATTACTCATCACATGTCTGTAACTTACTTTTGTGTAACTATAATTACTGATTAACGTTTGCTTAAATGGGAGTTAGCTAACCAGCCATCTCCGCTGCGCATCGTTTCTCTTCTCTCTACTCCATTTGCTTTAAATACAAAATATACGTATTCACAAGTCTATTCTCGTTATTCGACTTATTTAATTCTGTTATTGACTAACGCGATTTAAGTCGATGATTATAAACGAAGACAGGCAATAACAAACATCCATTACGATCTTCTTTGAGTCAGATCTCGGGCCACTAAAGTGGAGAGCCCGTCAACAAACATCGTCCGATCTAAATGAAGACGAAATAAAGGGCCCCACTAAAACATTATACCAGAAGATCTCCATTTATATACTAGTCAGCTGACTTTTTGGGATAAGAAGTGAAGATCTTTAATTTCTAGTTAATTCACTATCATTGATAACATTCGGACACATTGTTATAATTATTTTCAGGGCATATTATTCATCATATGGGTTTTATCAATTCAATATGTTACTTTTACAGATATGGCTTACATTCAACCCCTCATATACACAAATTCATCTTCCATACACATTGTCGTATATATAACAGTTAGCTGTAGCAGAATATCTGTTATATCGCGACGAGAATTATAAATGGTAACTATTGAGAACTATTTATGAACCGATACGATACATATATTTTTTATATAATTATGAAGTAGCTGAGCTGTGTATATTCATGTTCCTCTTATTAACAGCTTTAGTTTGACCCATAGACTATCTTTATACGATTTACCGTTCTTGAGTTGTGCCCAGTCAATTAATTACAGTCTCCTACATTCACAACCGCTTCTCCCTAGACGTTGTACAAATGTTATTTTTCATTTTACGGTACGATGTGATCTGTCTGGTTCGTATATAAACCCAGTATGTTTGACATACATTATTTATATCTCAGAAGCTGAGATTAGTGTTCTAGACTTAACAGGCAGGGCTAGGAGGGGAGCAGGACCAGTCAAGACACTAGACTGCTCCTGCTGGTTTATGCGTCATTGGTCCGGTCGATAAATCACTGTTCTCTAGTTGGCGGTATCATTAGAGCACAAGACATAACAATCTCGTCTGTCCAAATCATGAGATTTACTAAGGCACATAAGGACGTCATAAAACAGACAAGAGAAAAATCTTCGAAATAACAAGAACCAAATATTTTTGTGATCATACGACTGATATATTTATACTATGTTGACCTGGAAGGTGTAACAAACACCTTAACGAACTCAGTCATCTAAGTTTCATAGACTTTTCAATTAGTTTATCTTTTTTATTTAGAACCATGCTTTTACTTACAA